GCGGGGAGGAGTGGAGATGGCGGCGGCGGCGACGGCTCCGGGGGGCGGGGGCGGGGAGCCCCGGGGAACCGCTGGGGTCGGCCCAGGGGTCCCGGGGGAGGTGGAAGTGGTGAAGGGGCAGCCGTTCGACGTGGGCCCGCGCTACACGCAGCTGCAGTATATCGGCGAGGGCGCGTACGGCATGGTCAGGTGAGGGGCGTCCCGGGGAGGGGGCGCCCGCGGAGGAGGACTGCCGAGCAGGGACCGCACGGCCTGGCGCTTCCCGGGGCGCGGGAGCTCGGGGAGTGTCCCAGGGCGGTGATCGTGCGGTGCCTTCCGGTGCACTGGGTACTACTTTCTCAGAGGAGGGGTTCGGAAGCTTTGAAACCACCTTGTATCATTAAGGGAGGGGCATCTGAGTGTACATGGGGGAGCTGTGGCACCTGGGGGACCCTAGAGGTGGAGCTACCAGGATGAGGATTCTTGGTGAAGGGGAAATTGAGGGATTTTTTTTGCACGTAGTGGAAACCTTGGTTCCCCCCACTGAGGCTGTACTAGAGAGTTTGGTCGAGAAGAGGGAAGCTCAGGGTGGGGCGAGTCTTTGCTCTCCTCCCCCCTGTCTTGCTAGGGACCCAAGAAAGGATGAGGAGTCCGGAGGGCCTCCCTTGTATTTTCTGGGATCTGGGTCTGTGAGGTCTCACTGCCCCACTGTGTGCTCTGGGCCTTTGTTATGTGGGAACAGGTCTGCAGATACCTCACAAGGGACCTGGCCCTCCTCTTTTTTTCTCCCGTCCCATTATTGCCCCTTTCTTGCTGTATTGGTCTTACCTACTTCACTCCTCGCCTCTCCCCTAGACCTGTCTTGGATTGAGAGAGCCCAACTTGGGAGAGGAGAGGAGGGTGAGAGCAACTAGATTGGAAGAAGATCTAGGAGGGGAAGTCAGTGAGCCGCCACTCTCTTCCTCTGTTTGTGAAGTCACCAAAAGGCTGCCTGGCTGGTCCCCAGCTTTTTCCCTGGAGATTCCAGGCCTTCACAGCAGGAAGGAACCAGCATTGTTTATAACTTGGCCAGAGCCCTCCCTGCTCTTTCCCATCCCTGCCAAGGCCTGAGGTGGGGCCCGCTAGGCCTGGATTCCCCCTTTGTAAGGCCGTACCAGCTACATCTCTCTGGCCTCTCTCAGCTCTGCTTATGACCATGTGCGGAAGACTCGAGTGGCCATCAAGAAGATTAGCCCCTTCGAGCATCAGACCTACTGCCAGCGCACACTGAGGGAGATCCAGATCTTGCTGCGCTTCCGTCATGAGAATGTCGTAGGCATTCGAGACATTCTTCGAGCACCCACCCTGGAAGCCATGAGGGATGTGTATCCTTCACCTTGGCTAGCTGACTGGCCAGCCACAGCCTTAGAGCCAGGCTGGAGAACAGCAGCTTTCTTTCTATTTCCATATTGTGTGCAGTCCTCCAAAACAAACCCAGCAAAAGAACTTTCTAGCAGAGGAAAGCCCACAGAGGATGAGGGCACTGGCAGACCTTGGATGGATGCTGGTCTGTGCAGCCTTGTTTGGCCTTGGCCAAGTCCCTCTCTGCTCCGTGCCCCAGTGTATGTATGTGTGTGTGTCGGGGGGTGCTGGGCAAAATTATCTCTATGGGAGCTTTGTCTTCTGACATCTGCTGTTCTGTGACATGACCCAGTCTCTGCCCACAGTCAGTTCTTGCTTAACAGACTTACGATTCTTTCCTCGGAGTCCTCAGACTGGAAGGACAGTAGGGAAAGAAACTAGTACTGGGCATGCCTAGTACTTTGATGGTCCTAGTTCTCCCAGCTGCCCTATGAGATGTACCTTACCACTTCCGTTTCAAAGATGAGGAAACTGAGGCCAGAAAGCCTAAAGTCAACCGTTTCTGTGTGCTGCTTCCTCTCCTCATGGAGATGAGACTTCTGTTTCTTTCTCTGAGACCTCCCATTTCTCCCAGAGCCCCACCCTCATCACCTGTGGACTTGTACCTTGCTCAGGGAGGGCAGCCAGCCTTTGTTGCCCTCGCCTGATACTGCTTGCTTAGTTCAAATATCTAGCTCATTGTCTGCTTCCTGCTTAGCTCCATTGTTAGCAGGCTGTGACACCCATGGCTTCTTCCCCACCCACCCGACAATCCCAGGCCTCCACCCAAAAGTAAGGATTTGTTCTGCAGCATCTGTAGCCCCCACTACAGGTTCTCTGCAAATGTCAGCTTGCTGAGTGGCCTTAAGCAAATCACATCATCTTTCTAGATTTCCACTACAAAACAGCAGAGTTGATCCAGAGCTCCTCTCTTAGACAGTCCTGACTTATCTCTGAGACAGTAGCTCTGGCTTATCTCTGAGACAGTAGCTCTGGCTTATCTCTGAGACAGTAGCTCTGGCTTATCTCTGAGACAGTAGCTCTGGCTTATCTCTGAGACAGTAGCTCTGGCTTCTAGGTGATCCTCTTGCCTCTGCCACCTAAGTGCTAGGATTACAGGAGTGAGCTACCACACCCAGCTCCTGATTTACTCTTCCAAAGACAAGCCAAATGATATTTATGTTTAGTCTTTATCTTCAAGTATAAAAGAACTTTTCTCCATCTTCCAGTATATGGCCAAGTACTCCTCTTTCAGTAGGAGTATGCTGTTGGGAGTGTCTCCTCAATTTTCTGGCACAAATCATTCCCATAAGGCAAGCATTTATTTTTAAGCAAACAGTCAGTGTGTGCCAGATGGCGTTCATACATTATCTCATTTAATCCACTCAGTAGCCACGTGGCTGTGGCCCATGTAGTAGCAATAGCTGCTCTTGTTTGACAAGCACTTACAACAGGCTAAACACTGGGATGGGTGCTCTATATGTGTATCTCCTCTCCACAACTACCCTCTAAAGAACATGATCTCTTTGTCAATTCAGGAAACTGAGGCATAAACAGCTTAAAAACATAAAGCTATTGAGTAGTAGAGTGGGTTAACTCCAGAGTTCCCCCACTATAGTATCCTCCAGTAGAGAAACAAAGGGCCCAGAATAGGTGTGCCTTGCCTAAGGTCACCAACTGAGGTGGCAGGCTCTGAGCCTTACCAAGCTCATGAGGCCTTGGAGCCTCAGGTAGAAGGGATGTGCTGCCTGCTGGTCAGAGCCTGTTTTCCTTAACCCGTGCCTCCTGCTGCCCCCTACCTGGGGGATCTGGAGTCATCTTCAGCTACATCGTTCAGGACCTCATGGAGACAGACCTATACAAGTTGCTTAAGAGCCAGCAGCTGAGCAACGACCACATCTGCTATTTCCTCTACCAGATCCTACGGGGCCTCAAGTATATCCACTCAGCCAACGTGCTCCACCGGGATCTGAAGCCCTCCAATCTGCTCATCAACACCACCTGCGACCTTAAGGTCAGAGGTTGGGTACCCCTCTTGCCCTGAGCCTGGCATTTCTGGGTGACTTAGAGCACAGCAGGGCAGGGCAGGAATTCTTCCTGGGCTGTGGAGGCCTATGCACTGAGGTTAGTGGCCTGGGTTTGGTTCCAGATCTGCGATTTTGGCCTGGCCCGGATTGCTGACCCTGAACATGACCACACTGGCTTTCTGACAGAGTATGTGGCCACACGTTGGTACCGAGCCCCAGAGATCATGCTTAACTCCAAGGTAGGAGGACTGCCCACTTCTTCAAGGAAGTCCTGGAGCCATCTCTGAGCCAGCCACTGGCCCCTGTGATAAAAGATAATCTGTCCTCTAGGCTATGGCATATTCCTCTGGCCATTGGGCAGAAAGATTTGATTCTTTCTGGCCTCTATGCTCTGCGCTTTGGTGTTAGATCTAAGTTGGATGTGCTGCTTGGCCCAAATACCAGGAGGACCCTGGTGAGACTGACCAAGGAACTTAGCTCATTCTTCCCCTCCCCAGGGCTACACCAAGTCCATCGACATCTGGTCTGTGGGCTGCATTCTGGCTGAGATGCTTTCCAACCGGCCAATATTTCCTGGCAAGCACTACCTGGACCAGCTCAATCACATTCTAGGTGAGGGGCCCTGACGGGTTAAGGGGGAAAGGAGTTAGCTTATTAGAGGTAAAATTTGGCCAGGTGTGGTGGAACATACCTTTAATCCCAGCACTATAGAGGCAGAGGCAGGCTGATCTCTGTGAGTTCAAGGCCAGCCAGGGCCACATAGTAAGACCCTGTCTCAAAAAATAAAAAAAAAATGAAATTTCTGGAGGGTGAGGGTTGAGGTGGACATATGGAGCCTCTCCAGCCTCTCATAGCATTTCTGTATAGATGTTCTCTCCATTTGATAGATGGAAAAAGCAAGGCTAAGCCCCACACTTAGGAAGGCTCTTGGCCAGGATTTGAACCTAGGACTCCCTGATTTCCACCAAGTGCCTTATTCTTCACTACCCTACGAGAAGACTGGAGTTGGGGCAGGTGGCTGGGCTGGGTATTCTTACTTCCTGACTTGTTCTGCTCCCAAGAGGAGGAATTGACTTCTTACCAAGACACCTGCTTTACCCACAGGTATCCTGGGCTCCCCGTCCCAGGAGGACCTAAATTGTATCATCAACATGAAGGCCCGAAACTATCTACAGTCTTTGCCCTCTAAGACTAAGGTGGCCTGGGCCAAGCTTTTTCCCAAGTCTGACTCCAAAGGTGAGTGAGATTAAGAAGCCCAGGGACAAAGAAGGATGTATGGTCCTAACAACTGCCTCAGTGGATAGGTCCTGGGCACCGGGGAAAGAGATGCCTGTGGAAGCCCTTGCAGACATCTCTTGACCCTTGCCTCTTGCCTTTTCCCTAGCTCTTGACCTGCTGGACCGGATGTTAACCTTCAACCCTAACAAGCGCATCACAGTGGAGGAAGCGCTGGCTCACCCCTACCTAGAACAGTACTATGACCCCACAGATGAGGTATGCCAGCCAGCAGTGGCAAGTGGGGAATGGGTATCCCACGCCTGGCTTGGGGCTTATGGTCTTTTCCCCCTAGCCAGTGGCTGAGGAGCCGTTCACATTTGCTATGGAGCTGGATGATCTCCCCAAGGAGCGGCTGAAGGAGCTGATCTTCCAAGAGACAGCCCGCTTCCAGCCAGGGGCATCAGAAACTCCCTAACAAGAAAAGATAATCCCTCCCCCTCCAGGGCCTGGTGAGTAGCCCACAATGCCCCTGCGTAGCCTAACCCTAAGAGGCATCCAGCATGTCTTAGGACATAGGAAAGGGTGCCTAACTATTCACATGAATGGTAGTAACAGAAAGGCCAGGGCCTACTAGGACCAGTCCACACTTGTGGCCTACCCAATCCTTCATGTCCCTCTCATTCTGTAGCCCTATCCATCTCTTACTTGTCACCAGCATCTATTCCAGACTCACAAAGGTGAGGGCCCCTCTCCCCTCTGAGGAGCCACCCCAAGCTGGGGAGACAGAGGGTGCCTAGATGACTTCAGGAGAAGCCTGCAACCCACCTGACCCACATGCCAGGCTTCCTTCCACCTGCACTTACAGGGAACCCTGCTGGGTCCACCCCTACCTACATTGCTCTCCTACAACCTCTTCCTACCTGTAGCCCAGTAGTGGCCTGATAGAAGACAGACACACCTGGATGCAAGTCCCAGCTCTGCCACTTAGTAGGATTTGCATGATGTTGTGCCAGATACTGTGCCTCTCTGTGCCTCTGCTTCTGGAGACTTCCATAGGGAGAGCAAACCCTCTAATCCTTGTTCTTAGAGGTTCAAGTGTGTTGACTCATTTATCCTCATAGCAGCAGCAGGTGGTGGCTGCTGTTATTGTTGCCATTTCCCCATTGGGGAAACCCACACCCACTGTACCCAGCAGTGAGTATGAAACAGGCACTGGGGTAGGGCTCTATGGAGTCTTCTCACTGAGCTGACAGTTTTCTGTCTGCTTCTCCCTGTAGGTCCTGTTCCTACCTGATCCTTCCCCACCAGATTGTTAGAAAATGGACATTGCTCAACCCAGACCCTGGAAACCCAGGCTGGACCAAGGGTGGGCCCGGCCACCTTCTCTTACTCTGCTGGGGTCTCCTGCTTCCCGCAGGCTCCTCCTACCCCCATCCCCTGCCTCTGTCTCCCCGGGACCTGAGTGGTGAGGTGGTCCCAGAGCTGATCTCTGCTGCTCTGCTTTGTCTACCCTTGCTAGCCCAGGCTCTGGTAGACCATTCTAGAATGGAAGGGCTCTGGCTGCCCTAGGACCTATGCTATGGAGGAGTGGGGGCGCTGAGTAGGGACTCAGGGTGAGCCCTACCCTGCTCACTCATTGGCGCTCTACCCCATTTTCCCTGAAGGAACATTCCTAAGTCTCAAGGGCTCGTTTCCCTGAGGAGCCAGGCCCAGGTCAAACCCCCTGCCTCTCCAAGCTGCCACATGTAATGCCCTTGCTGCTTCTGTGTGTGGGTGAGAGGAAGTGGAGGTGGGGGCCTGTGGAGAGTCGGTGCCCCTGCCCACCTTCCTGTGCCTGTATCTAATATATAAATATAGAGATGTGTATATGGATAACCCTGGCTCTTGTCTGTGTACGTCAATGCGGGCCCCAGCCTGTCACTCTGACACCTGACTCCTGCCACCGACTTGGTTGTAGGTGGCCCTGTTGGTCTTTGGCTTCAGATGGCCAGGGATGGTGGCTGCTGGATGGGTTATAAGGAGCTTCAGTCTCCTGGAAAGGGATCAGTTTTCCCCTTAGTCACTGTCTTCTCCCTCGGTAATAGCTTCCTGTCTAACTGGCTGGGGGTGATTCGGGGTGACTCAGGGGTACCCTACATACCCCCAAATTCCTTGGAAAGGGCCAGAGGTGGTGTGTTACAGATCCTTGTCATAAGCACCCATAGAAGGCAGGGAGGTCTGTGAAGGGAGATACTTACCCCCTCCCCCATGGACAGAGAGGGGTCCTGGTGTCTATGAAGGGTCTGTGGACATGAGGACCAGGGTTGCCTGTCCCAGTTCCTGTTTCTGCTCCAGCCCTGGGGCTCACTGCAGCCTGGCCATGTGCCAGCAGCACAGCAGCAGGCTCAGCAGGTCCCAGGGGCGTGGCACTGCCCATTAGTGGAGCCAGCCTACACTGGTTCAGCAGGCAGGCTCAAAAGCAGCCAGCCACGAGCTTGCCGGCACAGTCCCCCTGGGACAGGGATGGCTGCGTTTTCATCAGAAGCCCAGTGTGGGAGTGAGGCCATGAGCCCCCTCCTATACTATGCCCTGCCCACACTGGGCTGCTATGTCATCCTCTCCATCTTCTTCCTGCGGTGGCCTCGCCTGCTGCACACACCGCGGCCTCCAGCCTTCCTTATCCGCCTGGCTGCCCACCGTGGAGGTGAGCTGAGCAGGGGAGGTTGGATGGGTTGGCAGCCACTCGAGGTGGAGTGAGTCTAGTAAGACAGGTTGGCAGCACACAGGGAAGGTACAAGGAGCAGATGGTAGTCAAAGACCAAAGTAGGAGAGTCAGGGGGACCAGAGAGCATGGAATAGGGAAAGAGGCCAGTTCAACCTGGGCTGACTGCAAAGGAGGAAGGCTGAAGCAGGTAGGAGGCTAGCAGGAAGGAAGGTGGGCCAGAAGGTTTAACCAGGCCCCAAGGACCCACCTTGACTGCCCCACACAGGGTCTGGAGAGCGACTAGAAAACACCATGGAGGCCATGGAGAAGTGAGTCCACCTGCCCCAGCAAGTCACCTTTAAGGTGGTGTGGGTTTTGCGCTGCAAGACAACCAGGGGTGCTAGTCGCGTCTTAATTTTGGTGTCTAGAACCCCCTGGAGTTCTGCAGGTTGGGGGGAGGTCACATCCCACCATAAACTGCCCGACTGTCTCTCCTCCACATGCACTGGCCCTCCTTCCCTTCTCCCACGGACCTTTGCTCCCATAGTTCCATGGCCCAGCGAGCTGATCTCCTGGAACTGGACTGCCACCTAACCCGGGATGGTGTGGTCATGGTGTCACACGATGAGAACCTGTTCCGCCAGTCAGGCTTGAATAAGGATATGAGCAGCCTGGACTTTGAGGTAAGCCTTGCCTCGCTGCAGCCACTCATGCCATATACCTCCACACACACCCCTGGTGATACTCCTCTCACTCTTCACAGGAACTGCCCCTCTACAAGGAGGAGCTGGAGGTTTACTTCTCACCAGGTAGGACAGGTGCTGCCAGCCTTGAACCAGCTTAGCCAGGTCTCATGTCCTCTTTCTGAGTTCTTCCTTCATCCCGTCAATCCTTTGACCCCAGCTTCTGTGACCCAACGCCAGGCCACTTTGCCCATGGGTCTGACCGGTACATGGTACGCTTGGAGGATGTGTTCCGGAGGTATCCAAAGATGCCCATGAGCGTGGAGATCAAAGAGAATAATGAAGAGCTCATTCACAAGGTGGTGATGCATCCTGGCAGGGCAAGGGCAGGCCCAAGAGAGGCCTGGCTTCCCTTAGCCATCCTCTCCCCATCCTAGGTAGCCAACCTGGTGAGGTGCTTTGACCGCAGTGAGATCACTGTCTGGGCCTCAGAGAAGAACTCAGTCATGAGAAAATGCAAGGCTGCTGTGAGTCCTTTTCCTTTCCTGCTGTAGTATTGGAGACCACTGTAGCCCAAGGAGCCTCCAGTAGAGGGCCCAAGAGGAGCCCCAAGAACAGGATCTGGAGACGTAGGGCAGTGGGGCTGTGTGCGTGGGCATGGTGGTGGCCATGGAGAGGCCCTCCACCATTGGCTATATTGGTCAGCTTTTTATTTCTGTGACAGAATACCTTAGACTACAACTCATGTCTCAGGATCTGAGATTTCAATCCATGGTCACTTTTGGCCCTGTTGCTGTGGGCCTGAGAAGTAGAGCCAGCCTCACTGTAAAGCAGGCATGATGGAGCAGAGCTGCTCATGGAAGCTTGGGAGCAGACACAGTGCCTGGGCTGGCATTCTTCCTTCTCCTTTGGTTTCATTCAGATCCCCAGCCTAGGAGACAGTGCCACCCATATTCAGGGTAGGTCCCCCCTTACCTAGTCCTCTGGAAGCACTCTCCCTCATAGGCATGCCCAGAGGTATGGATTACCAAACTCCTAGGTACTTCTTAATCCAATCAAGTTGACAGAATTAACCATCACATTGTTCACGTTGTGACCTGGATGTCCAGACCTGTTTCCTGCAGCCTATACCTCCTGAGATGGGTTTGCCATCTCACGTTCCCCCCTTGCTTCCCAGAACCCTGAGATGCCAGTGGCCTTCACGATAATGCGGACATTCTGGATGCTGTTGCTCTACTATCTGGGGTTACTGCCTTTCGTCCCCATCCCTGAGAAGTTCTTCTTCTGCTTCCTACCTACCATCATCAACAGGTAACCAGTGGTGGGGCCAGGCTTGGAACAACCATCCTGTTCAGGCCACATTACTCAGGATCTGCTATGGAGGAGCCCCAGGATCTCTAGTTCCCTGGTTCCCCTCTAAGAGCCCCCAATGACTTTAAAGAATCCATTTGTTTGCTTGTTTGTGATTTTTATGTGTATGGCAGTTGTATGTGGGTGCTTGTGGAGGCCAGAAGGCATTAGATAATGTCCCTGGAGCTGGAGTAACAGGCAGTTTTGAGCCATCTGACATGGATGCTGGGAATAGAGCTCAGGTCCTCTAGAAAAGCAGCAAGCACTTAACTACTAAGCCATCTCTCCACCCCCACCCCCAAGGTCCTTTAAAGACAGCAGTGGCTCGATTTTGTTTTTGTTTTTGAAACAGTCTCTTGTATCTCAGGCTGACCTATGTAGCTGAGGATGACCTTGAATTTTTTGTTTTTTGGTCTTTTTGAGACAGGGTCTCCCTGTAGCCCCAGCTGTCCTGGAACTCACTATGTAGACCAGGCTGGCCTTGAACTCAGAGATCCGCCTGCCTCTGCCTCTCAAGGGCTGGCATTAAAGGCATGTGCTACCATGCCCGGCGACCTTGAACTTTTAATCCTGCTTCACTTACTAAGTGTTGGGATTACAGGCATATGCCACCATACCTGGTTTTATGCAGTGCTGGAGACAAACCTTCATGCATACTAGCCAGAAGCTTCATGCATACTAGCAAACACTCTATCAACTGAGCTATATATACATCCTTTTGTGTGTGTGTGTGTGTGTGTGCGCACGTGTGCGCGTGCGTGGGCCATGGTGTATGTATGGAGGTCAGAGACAACCTTGTGGAATTGGTTCTTTCTTTCTACCTTTATGTGGGTTCTGGGGCTTGAACCTAGGTTGCTAGGCTTTTATAGCAAGTGCTTTTACCCTCTAGGTCATCTCTCTGGCCGTGATTTTGTGTTTTTTTACATTAAAAAATATTTTATGGGACTGGAGAGATGGCTCAGTGGTTAAGAACACTGGTTGTTCTTGCAGAAGACCTGGGTTCAAATCCCAGCATCCACATGGCAGCTAACAACTGTCCATAACTCCAGTCCCAGGGGATCCAACAGCCTCTCCTGACCTCCTTTGCATGACACGGGTGCACTTAACTTACCTACATGCAGGTAATACACGCATACACATACAATAAAAATAATAAAATTTAGAAAATATATTTTATATATTTTATATTTATTTTATGTGTGTGAGTGTATTGCCTGTGTGTATGTAAATGCACCCACGTCAAGCAATGCCCATGGAGGTCCCAAGAAGGCATCAGATCCCCTGGAACTGGAGTTACGGACAGTTGTTACCCACCATGTGGGTGCTGGGAATCAAACCCAGGTCCTCTGCAAGAGCAGTCAGGGCTCTTAACCACTGAGCCATCTCGCCAGCCCCTGATTTTGTGTTTTTTGAGATTGGGTCTCACTATGTAGTCCAGGTTGGCCTCAAATTCTAAATCATATTGCTTCAGCCTCCGTGCTGGGATTATGGGCCTATACCACTGTGGGGGCAAGACAATAGTTCCTATCTGGTCAGTGCAAATGCTCTAGTAAGTAATGGTGGATAGTAACTGGTCAGGCTAGTGAATACAGCTGATGTGGGTAGGTCAGGCTAGTGAATACAGCTGATGTGGGTAGGTCAGGCCCTCTGAGCTTAGAGCTGGGCTCACACCCTGGCTCTCTTTCTCAGAAGGAAAAGGTGAGTTAGCCAGTTCTACAGCAGCCCTATTAATATAGTAACTGACCAAGAATCAGGAACTAGATGCTTACCTAGCTTTTAGGCCTGGCTCATCCCTTGATTTTGCTGACCACTTCTTCAGGGTGATCCCCAATACTCTAGGGTCCTGAGGAAAGCTCCTAGCTAGCCTTACAGTCCCACTCCAAAGCTTTGGGTATGTAGCGCTTTACAGGAGTCAGAGGTTTTCACATATTGTAGGATATTTGACTTTTACCTTGCTGCACCCCCTCCCAGAAGATGTGAGGAAGCCCATAGTACCCATGAGACTCAGACAGAGTTTCTGATTTGACCAAGGTTCCACAGCTAGAAATACAGAGCCTAGGTTTGCTCTGGGCCTTGACTGAAGAGCGTGATCTGGGACACCGTGAAAGGCTCTAAAATCACCCTGGAATGGGATAACTTGTGACAAATAGCCAACCTATTGCACACTGTTTCGTGTGAAGAAGCTGGCCAGATTTAGGCATGGTAGCACACACGTGTATTTATAGCACTTGGGAGGCTGAGGTCAGAGAGGTACAAGTTCCAGGCCAATCTGAGCTACATAGTAAGATCCTGCCTCAAAAAACCTGTTCAGACTCAACCAGGAGGACCTCTGGAAGGGATGGATATCCAGTTCTGAAATCAGGCTAGGTCCTGGCCTTGGTCCTAGCTCCACCACTGGTGTGCTTTTGACCCCAGCAAATCCCAGTGTAGAAGATCAGTTCCCTTGTCTTTAAAATGGGGAGAGGAGGGATCCATCCTTGAACCATGGATTCCAGGACATGGTAGGCGCTCACTGACTGAGGGGTGAATTGTCCCTCTAGGCAGCTGAAGAATCTTCTCCAGACAGGCCAGGGTTACACTGGTCAAGGAGTCATTACCATCCCCACCCCTGAGACAGAGGATGAGGCCAAGGGTCTTACCCACCACCTTCTCTCCACAGGACCTACTTCCCATTTTCCTGTGGGTGGCTGAACCAACTGTCAGCTGTGGTTACAAAATGGTGAGGTGGTGAGAAGTCTGGGTGGATAGTCCACATAGGGATCTGCCTTGGCCCTTCCCTTTTGTCCCCTCTTAGCATTGTCTTTGCTGTCCCCATCCCTCCCCCAGGGTCATCATGAGGAAAAGTCTGATCCAACACTTGGAGCAGCGAGGGGTGCAGGTGAGGACCCAATAGGTACCCCAGCACGGAGGTGGTTCCCAGTATGTACCTGGTAGCACAGATCCTGCCTTTCTGTGCTATCTAGTGGAATTGCCTGGCAGGTTATCTCACTGTCTGAGTCTTCACTTTCTTCACAGGGCATCTGTCACACTTTTGGATATGTACCTGATACTTAGATAGGACTTGATAAGTGTTAGCCACTCTGAAGATCATAATGCTCAGGGCCTGCTGTCCTGATCCCCCAGGAGGGTGCTGGGAAATCAGGCCCAGCTCATCCTGTCCCTTTGCTGTGGAAGCACTGAGAGCATTTTTGGTTTGGTTTGGCTTTGGTTTTTCATGTAGCCCAGGCTGGCCACAAACTCATGGCAATCTTCCTGCCTCCCAAGTGGTAGAATGACAGGTATCAGCCACTGTACCTGACTTTAAACTAGAACATTTAATTAACAAACCTCACTGAGAAGATTCCAGACACTTACCTGGGATGGGAGCTTTCCATCAAAAGTGGATAAAAGAAAATATGCAGGCCACTGCCTGGTGACATCACCTGTAATGTGATGTTGCCCCCAAGGGCAGGAGACAGTGCCTGGGCCGTGGGAGCAGTGAGGTGGGAACAGTCTGAGGAGGCTGACTCTCGAATCCCAGGCAGGGAGCTCTGCAGGATTGTAACTTGGAGGAGCAAGAAACTAGGGTTAGAGGAATTGGATAGGTTCCCTAGGTCGAGGGCAGTGGAGGTCAGTCATGCCCACTAACCTCAGGAGTGTAGACATCAGCCCCCAGGGAGAGAAGCTTTTGGGGATTTACAGCAGTTAAATTTTTGAATGAGGGTCCCTTGGGTCACTGGGAGAAGAGATTGTGGTGGTGGAATGGAAACAATGTCATTAAGAACCTGATACTACCATGGACAGCAATGGGGACAGATGCCAAGGTTCACTTAGAGTGAGGGCAGGCTTTGGCTACGACCTGGTGGCGGGGGCATTGAGACACTGGGACTCCTTGACAGCCCTCTCACACCTCAGATTGCCACACACGTTGTGAGGTTGAACCATCACTCTCTTGTCAAACTGAGAAATCCAGAAGAGATGCATCCGGTGACTTCTGAAATAAAAATTCTTACCTCAAGCCAGGCGTGGTGGTGCACGCCTTTAGTCCCAGCACTCGGGAGGCAGAGGCAGGTGGATCTCTGTGAGTTCCAGGCCAGCTGGGGCTACAGGGAGACCCTGTCTCAAAAAGACAAAACCACCCAACAACAACAAAATACTCTCTTGGGGCTGGAGAGATGGCTTAGTGAATAAAAGCACTGGCTGCTTTTGCAGAGGACCTTGATTCGAATCCCAGCACCCACATGGCGGCTAACAACCGTCTGTAACTTCTGTTACAGGGGATCTGACACCCTCTTCTGACCTCCGAAGGCATTGTACAACATGAGTGCACTTACATGCAGGCAAAACATCCCTACACATAAAATAAAAATAATAAATAATATATATTTTTAAAAATTCCATCTCAGCTGGATGTGGCAGCTCATGCCAACAGCAATGCTTGGGAGGTGGAAGCAGGAAGATGGTGAGTTCTAGACCAGCCTGGGCTACATAACAAAAAAATGAAACGAGGAGGCCAGTTGTAGTGGTACATCCCCCTTTGATTCCAGAGCACTTGGGAGGCAAGAAGCAAGAGGAACTCTGAGCTTGAGGCAGCCTGGTCTACATAGCAAGTTCCACACCAGCTGAGGCGACAGGGAAAATGTCTCAAAAAACCAAACCAGAAACAGAAAACAAGGGCTGGGATGTGTGGTTTAGTTGGTGGAGTACTTGCCTAGCATTGTACAAAGCCCTGGGTTCAGTCACCAGCATCACATCAAACCAGGCATATTGGTGCATACCTGTAATCCCAGCACTCAAGAGGCAGAGGTAAAGTTCTAGGGCATCCTCAGCTATGTAGAGTTTGAGACCAGCTTGGTCTACATGAGACCCTGTCTCAAATGTGTATGTAATTGTGACGGACTTTTCAGTGTTTCTTAAACCTTTTGGGATTGGGGACTGGCTCAGCAGTTAAGAGCACTGGCTGCTCTTGCCAGAGGATCTGGACTTCCAGCATTCACCTGGCAGCTGCCTTCTGTAACTCTAGCTCTAGGACTCTGATGTCTTCTTCTGGCCTCCATGGGCATTGCATCCACATGCACTTACAAACATACAGAAAAAACTCATACACAAAAAAATTTTAATACTTTATTATTTTTATTTTATGTGTATTGCCTGCATGTTTCTAAGTGCATCCATGTCATGCAGTGCCTGCAGAGGTCAGAAGAGGGCATCATATCCCCTGTAACTGGAGTTATTGATGGTTGTTAGCCACCATGTGGGTGCTGAAAATCAAAATCAGGTCCTCTGAAAGAGCAATCAGTGCTCTTAACAGCTGAGCCATCTCTCTAGCCCCATCTCCCAATTTTTTTTCTAAACATTAAAAAAAATTTGCCAGGTGTGATGGCGCATGCCTTTAAGCCCAGCACTTGGGAGGCAGAGGCAGGCACATCTCTGTGAGTTCAAGGCCAGCCTGGTCAAGCCTGGTCAACATAGTGAGTTCCAGGACAGCTGGGGCTACAGGGAGACCCTGTCTTTAAAAAAAAAAAAAAATACACGCGTGCACATAAACAGGCGGGAGGAGGGGTGGATGTGCCATAGTGTACCCCTGTGGAGGCCAGAGGACTAATGGTAGAAGGAAGTGAATTCTCTTCCTCTACCATGTGGATCCTGGGATTCATCTCAGGTGCTCATGTTTGGCAGCAAGCACCTTTACCTGTTTGCCATCTCACTTTTTGTTTTTCATGGTACTGAGGCTCAAACCCAGGGCTTTGCACATGCTAGACAAATGTTATACCTTTGAGCCACATCTCCAGCCCTTGGGTTTTTGTTTGTTGGTTTATTGGGACAGTTCCTGTAGCCCAGGCTGGCCTTGAACTCCTTATGTAGCTGAGGGTAGCCTTGAATCTTTATTCTCCTGTGTCTGCCTCCCAAGTCCTTCAATTGCAAGCACGCAGCACTACACCTGGCCTTTACATTTGGGTTTGTTTTGTTGATTTTTTTTTTTTTTTATGTGAATGAGTGTATTGCCTGCATGTAGGTAAGTGCACCCATGTCATGCAATGCCTGAGGCTGACAGACCAGGCCATCTGATTCCCTGAAGCTGGAGTTACGGACAGTTGTTGGTGCTGGGATTTGAACCCAGGTCTTTTGCAAGAACAATCAGTGTTCTTAACCACTGAACCACCTTTCCAGCCCCAATTTATTTATTTTTTATTTTTTATTTTTTTGGTCTTTTTTGAGACAGGGTCTCCCTGCAGCCCCAGCTGTCCTGGAATTTACTATGTAGACCAGGCTGGCCTTGAACTCACAGAGATCCGCCTGCCTCTGCCTCCCAAGTGCTGGGATTAAAGGCGTGCGCCATCATGGCTGGCTATTTTATTTTTATGTATATGAGTGTTTTGCCTGCATGTATGTAAGCAGGCCACATATGTGCAATGCCCATGGAGGCCAGATGAGGGCACCAGGTCTCCTGGAACTGGAGTTACAGAAGGCTGTTAGCAGCCTTATGGGTGCTGGGAACCAAAGTTTGGTTCTCTGCAAGACAAGTACTCTCAATCACTGAGCCATCTTTCAGCCCCTTTACCTTTGTTCTTAATAGAATTTGTTTGTTTTTGAGCCAGGGTCTCACTGAGTAACCCTGGCTGACCTAGAACTCACTATATAGGCTAGCCTGGAACTCACATATCTGCCTGCCTCTGTTTCCTGAGTTGGTGGGATTAAAGACATGCCACCAACCACGCCTAGCCCATGAATTTGTTTAAGTATAAGTTCATACAGTTTATTTATGAACTTTATTTGTTTATTTATTTGAGACAGGGTCTTGCTGTATAACCCTGGCTGGCATGGTACTCTGTAGTCCAGCTATCCTCAGACTTTCTGTCCTTTTGCTTCAGCCTCCCAGTTGTGGGACTACAGGTAACATGTACCACCACACATGGCTCTAAGATTATGCAGTTTAATTTTTTTGTTTTGTTTTGTTTTTGGTCTTTTTGAGACAGGGTCTCCCTCTAGTTTTATTTTATTTTTATTTTTATTTTTTGCAGTTTAATTTTTTAATAATAGCCATGTTTAATAAGAAATTTAAAGATTCCTGAAAAGTTAACCATCAGCTCCAGCATTCTATTGCTTAGAGATCTGTACAGAGCAGTGGGGCTGCTCCCACCTGGTATTAAAGGATGCTCTAGGTAGTTATTTGGAAACTAACCTGTTCCTCTCTGTTCAGGTACTATTTTGGTGCCTTAATGAAGAGTCAGATTTTGAAGTGGCCTTCAATCTGGGGGCCAGTGGTGTCATGACTGATTACCCTATGGCCCTGAGGCACTACCTGGACAACGTGGACCAACAGCTGTAGCTTCCTAAGTCCGAGGACCTGTCCTCTCTTCCTGAAAAATAAAATTATTTTGTCAGTAACACAGTTGCTCTTGGAGTGAGGGGTTGGAGGGTGGATCCTTGGAGGGTGACAGTTTATGGGTCAGGGATGTAACTCAGTATAGAGTACTTGCCAGCATGAGTGAGGTCTTGGGTTCAATCCATAGCACACACAAAGGTGCCATCTTAGGAGAGACCAGGTAAACCTGGGGCCCTAACCAGCCTGGCCCACTTGTTCCACTACATTCCAGACTCAACAGTGTCACCACACCCTGTGCCAACTTGGCCTCTACTCTGAGGAATGTCCCTTGCAGTGCCAACCCAGGTGTCATGGCCCCTAGCCTCTAGAAAACCACAGATAAGTTATTAAGAGACCTAGTGAGGGACTTGACTTCCCACATTCTCTTGCTGATGTCTCTCCATCCACTGAGCTGCAAAGGGTGGGTGTGGGTGGACAAGCTCACAGGCACAAAGCCTTCCCCACCTGCCAACTGTCCACTCCCGGGTCTCCTCCAGCACTGAAACCTAATTCACTTAATACTCCCAATGCAGAAATGCTTATCAAGAGCCTACTGTAGGCTTGGCCGGGTACTGGGGTTCTGCAGTGACCATGACAAGTTTAAGTACGGGAAACTCACACAGACGTTTCTACTGCGGCCAGATCCCCAACAGCCTGGGGGAGCATCAGACGATGATGCGTGGAGGTGAAACTGGCTCCTAAAGCTTTGGTTCCTGGGGGTCTAACAGCAAAGGGCACCTTCAGCTCTTCCGTTTAGTCAGTCTGTTCACGTGCTATAGAAAAGTGAGAATTCCAACTTTGTCTCTTACCAGCAAGACGATCTGTGGAGGGGATCTATTCCCTTCTGGACCGCAGTCCCTGACCAAATGCAGATAATAAAGAGAAATTAGCTTATAGGATTGTGTCAGGGCCTACCAGAGTGGTCAATGGATCGATGCAGAAATAATTATGACTACTTCCCAGGGGTGCGCGTCCGGGCACTAGCCCCCTACTAACCCCACGCCAGGTTAGATCCTTGGCTCTTCAAGCGCCGCGGGCAGCTAAACGCGCCACTAGGCCAGGGCACCGACCGGCCACAGGGCTGGGTTGCAGACGGCAGCCGCATTTCCGGGCAGGCGGGAGCGGAGAGCAGGGGGAAGGGCAGCTGAGGCCTGCGCTGGCCATCCTATGACGCGCCCCCTCATTTGCATACGGCGCGCCGATTGGCCACGGCGGCCGCTGGGACAGAAGGCCAGCCCCTTCCCCCTCCCGCTGCAGCCGCGGCAGCAGCTGGTCTCGGTGTAAACAAGTCGAGGCGGCTGCGAACCCGGCCCGGGGGGACGGCGCCCACCAGGAGCGCCCCCCACTCCCAGGCCAGGCCTCCCCGCGGACCCGGCCTCCGTGCGCCCAGGCGAGGTGAGGCCCGCGCCGACCACGCAGCGCGTCTCCCCGCGCCCCCGCCCCGCAAGCGAGGACTGCCCCTTCCCCTGGCGCGCGCCCCCCATCCCCGCGCCCCAGGTGAGCCCCCGGGTCTCAGGTAAGGCTTGGCGATGCAGGTAAGATCCCCTCGGCGGAAGTGAGGCTCAGCGCCCCCAGGTAAGAGCCCTCCTCTCCCCAGGGGGCCTTGCACCTTCCGGGAGGCCTTCGGCTTCCCCAGGTGAGAGACTCTCCCCCTGGCGAACTTCGTGGACCCCACATTAGCCTCGCTTGCAGTCCGAATGGGGTCCCAAGAACCAGTCAATTCCTAACCCCCCGGACTCCCTCGAAACTTGGAACTGGCAGCCCATCCACTCTAAAGCCCCTTCCAGTTTCAGATGCCAGCCAAGTCAGCAGGGGTGAGGCCTGAAGCAGGTGGGTGACTCACCTGGAGCTACTCCTAGCCTCAGTTTCCCCGCTGATGCAACCGAGGCCTCCTCACTGAGTCAAAACTGAGATGACTCTGGTCCCTGGTGAGGCTGCTGGCTCTAGGGAAAGGAGAGAGCAGCCAAGTGTGACAGAGTCCCATAGCTCTGGGCTTGCCTGCGTATGTGTGGTCTTTGGTCCTGACAGTTCACCTACTCCTTCCTGGCAGGCACTGGGCTCCCTCTGCTCCCCGTGGGCCGCTCCCCGCGTGGGGCCACTGCCCCTGGCCCCCGCCATGGTGCGAATTTCAAAGCCCAAGACGTTTCAGGCCTACTTGGATGATTGTCACCGGAGGTATAGCTGTGCCCACTGCCGTGCTCACCTGGCCAACCACGACGACCTCATCTCAAAAGTAAGCAGGCTACAGTTGAGCCTGGAATGGGAAGGGGTGCCTAGCAGCTCCCTACTAATAGCCCTGACCCCTTCCTGTTGTCTCCCCACCACCCTCTAGTCCTTCCAGGGCAGTCAGGGACGTGCCTACCTCTTCAACTCTGTGTGAGTATTCACTTTCTTCCTTTCTTTTCGACCTCTGTTGTGACCTGTGACCCCTGGCATTAGGCATCCCAGAGTCCCCTTAGTTCAAGCAGGAAGCTGTGATCAGTCTTCTCTTAGGGACGAAGAGCAGACACAGTAGATGCAAGCTAGAGAGGGGCTCTGTGCTGCTGAGACCCTCCCTGGGACTGCTCCATGTCCCCACAGGGTGAACGTAGGCTGCGGGCCAGCAGAGGAGAGGGTGCTGCTGACAGGCCTCCATGCTGTCGCTGACATCCACTGTGAGAACTGCAAGACCACTTTGGGCTGGAAATATGTGAGTTGGTGATCTTTGACCCTAGGCTGGCCTTTGACCTGAGCTCACATCACCTCTTCCTCATGAGCAGACATCTTTCAGAGTACATAGGCCCAAGCACAGACAAAGCAAACTGTCTTTACCCCCAGCCATGTTCTTCCCTTGCAAACTGCAGAGCTTTGGGGGTGTTCCTCTTCTGATCCTTTCCCTCAAAGGCACTAGCATCCCTATCTTAGAGATGAGTAACAAGCAGAATCATCATTTATTGAATGCTTATATGCTGTGCACCTTTCCATGCCTAGTGTATAGTCCCTCATTCAATTATTACAACAACCCTGATAACAGAATCTGTTACAAAAGACAGGAGGTTCACAGATCTTAGGTAATTTGCCCAAGATCACACAACTGTAACAGAATGGGGCCTAGGAAACTGGCTGGCTGGCTTGTTTGGGTTTTTTGTTGTTGTTGTTTCTTGGTTTGTTTCTTGTTATTTTTGAGACAGGGTCTTGCTGTATAGCCCAGGCTAACCTGGATCTTATGATCATCCTGGGCTTGGGCCTCCAAAATGCTAAGATTTCTGGCATGCACCCACTATACCTGGCTTTGTTTATTTTTTGTTTTGTTTTGTTTTGTGAAACAGGGTCTCCCTCTAGCCCCAGCTTTCCAGGAACTTGCTATATAGACCAGGCTAGTCTTGAGCTCATAGAAATTGACCTGCCTCTACCTCCCAAGTGCTGGGATTAAAGGCATGCACTACCAAGTCTGTCTGTCTTTGTTTATTTAACTCCAGACCTTTAACCATTATCTTATATTGTCATTCAAAGGATCAGAGAAGTTACCTAAGACCCCACAGCAACATGGAAGTTTGGCTCGAAGGTCTCCTTTTCCACTGTTCTCACTGCATCTGCTGCTGTCTAGGATCTGATTTCATAACCCGAGTCTCATTTCCTTACCTAGAACTGGAGCATAAAGCCACTACCTGGCACTGAAGATCATTACAGGGATCAGATTAGATTAGAGGAGGAAGCTCCTGGGAATCTGGAAGGGGCTGGGCAAGGTACTTGGAGTGTCTCTTGTGAACTGGATGCCCCAGGCAGAGACAAACAATCCTAACCTGACTTTTTAGCTCTGGCCCTGCCACAGATTTTCTGTGTATTTCTGGACAGGTGGCTTGACCTCTCTGAACCTCCTGAAATGGCCTAGTCCAGAGCTTAAAAACACAAATGCCACTGCAAACATGGTGGCCCACACCTTTAATTCCAACACTCAGGAGACAGAGGCAGGTAGATTTCTATGAGATCCAGGCCAGCCTGGTCTACATAGCAAGTTCTAGGCCTGCCAGGGTTACTTAGTGAGAAACCTTGTTTCAAAAACAAAAAACTCAAATGCCTATAAGGTCAAGCAGATACTATAGATATGTAAACAGGGTGGCATAAATTAAGAGCAAAATACAATGAGCATTCATGCCTATAGTTTAGTGTTGTGGGGTTTTTGTTGTTTTGTTTTTTTCAGTGTGGTGCTTGAATCAAATCCAGTGACTCCCACATGCTAAGCAAGTGCTCTACCACTGTTATTTATATTAAGCTCTCTACTATCCAAACAAAACCACGTGTAGGTGGAAATGGCCCTTGGGCCACCAGTTTACAACCCCTAAACTACCAAATCTTTTAGGTACTTCCATAACCTCCTTGTTGGAGATGTCACTAGAGTTCAAAAGGTACACATGATTCAGAGTTCTCTGTACTCGGCAGTGAGAAACAGCCCTGCGGTTCACCAGTTTCCGGAGGGAGCAGGTAGCTGTGCTTCTCTGGGCCATAGTTTCTTCTTATGTAAAACAAGACCAATCATATCCACTTCCCAGCCCCACTGCCTTGTGCCTAGGCTATGGACGTCAGACGTTTCTCTCCTTTGCAGGAGCAAGCCTTTGAGAGCAGCCAGAAGTACAAAGAGGGGAAGTACATCATTGAACTCAACCACATGATCAAAGACAACGGCTGGGACTGACTGAACTCCTGACGCATGTGGCTTCAGCCTGGCCTGGCCGCCAGGGGGCGCCACTGGCTTTGCTCCGCCTGAGAGGAGCTCTGGACCCTCAGGAACCCCGCAGGGGAAGGATCCAGCTCCTGTACATATATTTTATTGCATGCACTGTGACCTTGGGGGAAGATCCGGAGGGGGACGGCACCCCCGACACCTCCCTTCGATCTGGCTGGCTTGGATCTCGTTTTTTAACCCCTTCCTGTCCTGCCTGCCCCGTAGATATGGCCTGTGTGTTGCTTCCTTGGCCCCGGTGCACTTTCTGCCCTGTGAACTTGTCCCACTGGACCCCTCTTACCCAATGTGTATCTGTACCTCTTGTTCTGTAGCGTTTGTACATAATAAAACAATGGAGACAGCCCTAGGCTCACGTGGAATACAGACTCCTTCCCTTTAGACCCAGCACGGCAGGCGCGGCTGATGTCCACCGTCGATCCCACAGTGGCCCCTAGCCCAGGACCTGGGCCCACATGCATCTTCAGCCTTAGTGTTTTAGGGGCAGCGCCCCTCCCCGCCAAGGCAACCACGGCTTCCGCCCTGTCATCTGGACTACAACTCCCAGCGGGTCCAGAATAGTCGCTTTCGCGAGTCTCGCGCAGTGCCTACTGGGAAATGTAGTTCCTTAGCGTACCTCTGCGGCGTAGTACCTTGCAGTTCTGTGGAAGATGCCACAGACTGTGTGGAGCGGTGCACACGCCTCAGCTTTTGAGATTTGGTGGAGGTTTTTTGGATTGGAAACCAGGGAGGACTCTAAGGTTCAGCCCTCTGCCTCAGTCTTTTAGATATTCCTAGTTTCTCGCTTGCTTCCCAGTTCATTTCCCAAGGCTGGTCTTCCAAGTAAAGAGGGAGAAGTCACCTTCTAGAAAGTCAGGGTCTGTCCGGGGATCGGGGATCCCAGACCCCACCCCCGCCTCCCGCTTATCCCTAGCGGGGCTCCCCCCCACCGTGGGAACGGGGACCAGCTGGCCGGAAGCGCCAAACTGCGTCCCTGTCCCAGCCCTAGGGATCAATCAGGTTGAGGAGTTAATTATGTAATGAGGGGGCAGGGGGTCGGGACTAATGAAGCCGCCCAGAAGGAAAGGGAGAGGGGAGGGTACCCAGGTATCCGGCCTTCTCTTGGACCCCTTCGAGGCCCCAGGGGTCTCCACTTCAGCCCACCTCCAGGGCCCCAAAGAGGGGAGGGGCTGTGATCTCTGGTGTGGAAGGGGCTGTGCTGTGAGCTATAAAGGGGGGATCCAGACCTGAAGACTCTAGCAACGTGACACAAGGCCAGAAGAAACTACACCATGTACCATCCACGAGAGTTGTACCCCTCCCTGGGGACCAGCTACCGTCTGGGGCACCCCCAGCCAGGGGCAGACACCAGCTTCCCACCTGCCCTAGCAGAGGGCTACCGCTACCCTGGTGAGCTGTGGGACCAGCTCTTGGGTAGGGGGCAGGGGCAGGGAACTGTGTGGCCCTCAGCTGGCTCATTATTCTGGTGTCTCCAGATCTGGATACCCCCAAACTGGACTGCTTCCTTTCTGGGATTGAGGCAGCTCCCCACACCCTGGCTGCACCCCCTCCTCTGCCCCTTCTGCCCTCTGCTCTGGGCCCTGAGGCAGCACCGCCACCTCCAGAGGCCCTTCATTCACTCCCTGGGGTCAGCCTGAGCCTGGAGAACCAGGAACTGTGGAAGGAGTTCAGCGCTGTGGGAACAGAGATGATCATCACCAAGGCTGGCAGGTGAGGGCTGGCCAGGTCAGTTTTCAAAAAAGGTAGAGTTCCCCGGGACAGGCCTAGGTTTGGGGGGTTCACCAGGGTTAGAACATGCAGAATCTATGGCCAATGACACTGGGTGGACAGGAGCCACACTGTGGCAAGGCTCAGTCTGGAGTCTGGCTGGATTTAGAAGCCAGTCTATCAAGGGTCAGTGAGGTCAGTCTGGGCTTGGGGCAAGGAAGTCTGGCTGAGTTATAGGTTCTTATGGTGGCCTAGATCAGGGACAGACTGGCTGGAACTGGGGCTCAGACTATGAGAAGAGTCAAAGGCCAGCCAGTAATCGGCCTCAGAAAAATCTGTCCAGGATCAGGGTATGTGGTTAGGTCCCAGCTCACCCTAGAGGCAGAGAAGAGGTCAGTGTGTGGGCTCCTGCAGTCTCTAAGGCCTGAACCCTAGAAAGATCCTGTGCTCAGGGCCCCACACCTGTTTTATCTGAAGCAAATTTATCTTCACAGCTGTAGGGGTAGTGCTGACCAAGGTGGAGAGGAGGAAGCTAGGGGCAAGGCTTCAAGGGAGAAGTTAGTCACCAATGGTTCTGCAAATAGTTTAGTGGCTAGGAGCTTGGGCTAGGGAGTGGCAAAGGCACTGAGACACAAGGTGAATGTGCCATGTTGCAGCTGGAATGGAGAGTAAGGAGGGGAGGGGGGAAGGTGACGGAAGCCAGGTTAACCTGCTATGACCCATCAGATCCTAACCTGTCCCATTTCCCCATCTAAAATAGGATCAGAAGCCTTCTAGCCCTTAGATTCTGCATTGGGAACTCTAATTCCACTTCCCTTGATGTTACTGCTCCAGAATCAGGGCGCCTGTTCCTAGTTCATTTACTGGTGCTGGACCCTCCTCTGGTAGTGGGAAGCTCCAGGCCTCTCCCTTCCCCTCCCCTGTGCAGGCGCATGTTCCCTGCTTGCCGAGTGTCAGTCACTGGCCTGGACCAAGAGGCCCGCTACCTGTTCCTTCTGGATGTGGTTCCAGTGGATGGTGCTCGATACCGCTGGCAGGGCCAGCGCTGGGAGCCCAGTGGCAAGGCAGAGCCCCGCCTGCCGGACCGTGTCTACATTCACCCTGACTCTCCCGCCACGGGTGCCCACTGGATGCGGCAGCCTGTATCTTTCCATCGTGTTAAGCTCACCAACAGCACGCTGGACCCCCATGGCCATGTAAGGCCCAGGCTGGGACTCCTGGATATGGTTTTGGGGTGGTGTTGGGTGGAAGGCTAAGGCTAGTGCCCAGGGCAAGGAGTCACCCCCATGTCTTCCCTCCCAGTTGATCTTGCACTCCATGCACAAGTACCAACCTCGCATCCACCTGGTGCGGGCAGCCCAGCTTTGCAGCCAACACTGGGGAGGTGTGGCCTCCTTCCGCTTTCCTGAGACCACATTCATCTCAGTGACAGCCTACCAGAACCCACGGGTGAGTGACCCCATCTGAGGGAGGGGCAGCAGCCTGCCCAGGTTGCCGGAGCTTTGACTTGGATGTGCTGTCCACAGATCACACAGCTAAAGATTGCAGCCAATCCGTTTGCCAAAGGTTTCCGAGAGAACGGCAGAAACTGTAAGAGGTGGGCATCACTCATCCAATGAATGTTTAGTAACTTTACTGTGTGCCAGGCACTGTGCTAGGGTATAAGGAACATGATGGTAAGTAAAAACATTCACTCTTGATTCAACAAATACTTAAGACCACCCACTCCTCAATGCTATTGATATGCTAGTGGGCAGAGCAGACAAAAACAAGAGGTGGTTAGAATGTTAAGTTCTAATGAAAAATAAAGCACAGGAAAATAGGAAGGACTGGAGCAAGAACATCTGAGAAATAGGGGAGCCATGTGGGTGTCTGCAAAGCATGCTAGGGAGTGAGCAAGCACATGTGCAAAGGCCCTGAGGCAGAACTGTACTGCAGTGTGGCAGAAGAGTGAAGCTGCAAGTCAGGGAAGTGACAGGAAGCCAGGCATTCCATAACAATGAAGATTTGGGAAGGACTTGGGCATCTGTTCTGAGTCTAACCCCCTCAGAGTTGATCCACGCCCCGGAGGAGCTTACAGTCTATCCCCAGACATGTAGAAGTATAATATGAGGTCATGAGGGAGGTGTGTGATGCTGTGGAAGGTAAGGGAGGTCCTCCTTGAGACAAGCATAGATTGAGCCAGAGCAGAGGGACAGAAGATCCCAGAAAGGGGCAACAGAAAGGGGCAACTGTGGACACGGGGCAGAGGACCTGGCTTTGCAGCTTGGGAAGATGTTTTCTCACATTTTAAACATAGCAGAAAACACAGAACAAGTTCCAAGTCAGAAAACAGTTCTGTTGGCTTTCTAGTGACTCAGTTCTCTGGCCTTCAGTTCCTTCACCTGTAAAATGGGTATAATAAGGGCGCCTGCCTGACAGGGTGCCTAGGAGGGTGAACTCCCTGGCACCTAGTAAGAACTGTTAGTGCCATCATCATCACCATCACCACCACCACCACCACCATCACCATCATCATCATTCCCCAGGGAGCGAGATGCACGTGTGAAGAGGAAACTTCGAGGCCCAGAGCCAGTGGCCACAGAGGCCTATGGGAGCAGGGGTGAGTGCTGTTCTGATAGTGATGGGGCCAGGCCTGAAACACTGAGCCTCCCAACACAGCTTGTGCCTTTTGTCTCCCCAGATACACCAGGGGGTCCCTGTGACTCCACCCTGTGTGGGGACATTCGAGAGTCCAATCCAGAGCAGGCCCCGGCTCCCCCAGAAGCTGCTCCTGCCCCAGTTCCTCCATGTAGTGGCCCCAGTGCTGAGGCCTACCTCCTGCACCCTGCAGCTTTCCACGGAGCCCCCAATCACCCACTAGCCAGGTGAGAGGGACAAGAGCACAGGGCTGGGTGGCTCCAAGGGGCAAGGGGGTTTCTCTCTGATTCTGACATCTCTTCCCCGACTTCAGGAACCCCAGCTTCCCTGAGGCTTCAGACTCTGGGCGCCCAGCCCCCTACTCAGCTGCATTTCTGGAGCTACAGCCTGGACCAGGGGGCTCTGCATACCAAGCAGCTCCATCTGCCGCACCCTTTGCCCCCCACTTCATCCAAGGGGGCCCTTTCCCTTTACCATACCCAGGGCCTGGAGGTTATCTAGACATGGGATCCAAACCAATGTACTGAACCAAGGCAGGGCCTGTGCCATCCTCCCTTGGAAACCTCCAGCTCCCTTCCCCCAGCCCCATAGCACCCTCATCCACCAGGCCCCATCCCCCACACCAAATGGCTGCCTCGGGGCTGTCCCCTACCCCCCTAGTTCACACCTTGATTTTACTCCCACCCCCTCTGGCTTCAAAGCCCAGGCAAAGCTGCTCAGAGTCCAGCTGGGGCCAGCTTCCCCTTCTTAGCTCTCACCTCAGTGTGAATGGAGAGAGACTTGGCCTGGCCAAATGGCGCTGGCAGCCCAGTACCTCCACCTCCAGAGGGGGGTGGGGGCTCATCACTAGCACAAGTCACATCAATTTGTTCAAGAATCAGTATTTTTGTTAATAAAACTCAAGACATTAGTGCTGAGGAAACATTGGGCTAATGGTGTTGGCCTGGTTGGGGCTGGGGGAGCCAAGGCTTTGTAGAGAGCGCCCAGCAGTTTCTAGCTACTTGACCTTGTTTGTACACATAAGGCAACCTGCTCTAGCCTTGCTTCCGCTTCAGGAAGATGGCTAGTCTCTTCACATTAATTGTTTTAATCAAAGCTGCCCTGAAACCCATCTTCTACACAGCACTAAGGACACCTTCTTGGAAAGATTACCAGATGAGGCCTGAAGGCTCTGGGCCAGTAGACACTCAAGGCAGAGCAGAGCCTCCGTAGCAGAATGTGAGCCGAAGCGAGAATTTCACTGTCCACCCCAATCAAGCCGGATACAAATCCCAAGACCATTTTTCTTCTTTTATTATAATTTTTCTTTTTTTTCTCAAAACATTTTATCTAAAAACAAACTGAAAAAAAAGGAGAAAAAGGAAAACAAAAAAATGACTGGAAACTTCATGGATCAAGTGTGGAGAAAGGAGAGGAGGCCTGGAGCTAAGGCTCCCACCTCTCCAGAGCAAGTCCGCACCCTGGGGCAAGCAGAGCTGGGGCAGCCCCTCCACACCCAGCCTCGGACTGGGGAGAGGGCAGTCACAGTGGTCCGAGAGCCAGAGGGGCTAGAGCCACAGGGGTCACAGGAAGTAGTCGGCCACTGGCTTTTTGGAGGGGATGCCTCGTGTCTCTTGGGGTGCAGCTTCGAAGATGATGAAATCTTTCTGGAGATGCTCATCCAGCTCCAAGATAGCTGCCACATTCCCACAGCTAGACATAGGAGCAGTAAAGTTAGGGACAGCTGGCCTAGATTCCTACTCTCTCCCCGACTCCTGGCCCTGCCAGCTTACCGGTAGCAGTAATTTGGTGCTGACCACACAGTGAGCACAGTCTCATTGAAGTGCCACTTGTAACCTTCCATCACCAGTTGGTGGGCACGGCAGATCATGTCAATGTCATTGGCTGCATTGAACTGGGCCACCACATCACTGCCAAATAGGTAACCGGCCCCACGGGGGCTCACACCCCAGCCTGTTGTGTCTAGGGCAAGACAAGAATGATGAGAGGATGCCTTGGGCCCCTCTGGTTGTCCACCACGCCTGTCCCCTTCCTCTAATCACACTAGAGGCTTATGGAGCAAGGGCATAGAGCCAGAATATGTCCTTCTAGGAGTCAGGATAGCCAGTGTTGGAGTAGAAAAGCTCAAAGGAGAAAGGATGCCCCATTACTGGGCCCACCTCATCATCATAGTGACCATACAATGTACTTTCCAGGCAGCACCTGAGTGATAGGCAGCACTCACAAGAACCACACCCAGAGAACCAGGTATAACAAGGGCCAAGGTATAACACGCCTTTAATCCCAGCAGAGGCAGGCAGATCTCTGTGAGTTCAAGGCCAGCCTGGTCTACATAGTGAGTTCCAGGTCAGCTGGGGCTAGAGGGAGACCCTGTCTCAAAATGACAAAAAAAAAAAAAAAAAAAATCATCTTGGGTCACATCAGGGTAGTTTGGGAAGGCAGTGATGGGAGTAGAGGGTGTGCTTGGGACTGGTACTCAGGAGATCTAGCTATAAATCTCAGTTCAGGGCAGGAGAGATGGCTCAGCAGTTAAGAGCACTGGCTGCTCTTTCAGAGGACCTGGGTTCGATTCCCATCATCCACATGGTGGCTAACCATCCAGAACTCCAGTTCCAAGGGAATCCGACACCCTCTTCTGACCCTTGTGGGCACTGCACCCACCTACATGCAGGCAATACTCAGACACATAAAAAATAATAAAATCTCAGTTCAGCCCTCAACTAGTAGAAAACTTCACAAAATAAGGAACCGTCAGGGGGCCACTGTGGGAGAGGTGTCTCACTTCCAAAGAGCTGTTAAGTCCTAGAGCCTTTTCCCACCAAGGGAGCCGATATTTTATCCTGAACAAGCCTTCTGAGTCATGACATTCATGCTCCAACCCACTGTAGGCCTCAGCACCTACCATCCATGGCTTCTGCTCCTTGTGGAGGGTCCAGTCAAGACAAGTGGAGGGCAGAAGCCAGTGTGGCCCAATCCAGCTGTCCACTGTCCAGACTGCCCTGGCTGACTCCCCCTTCAAGCACTTGTTTAATCAGTCTCCACAAGAGCCAGACCAGGCCTTGCCCTGTCTGCTTGCCCTCACCTTCAGGGTCAGACCACAGGAGGTCACACATGGGCCCATCGTGGGGCACCTCTTGCTTTCGGTCAATCGTCCGGATCTGGTCCAGGGTCTGGATGGAGGGGGAAAGGCCCCCATGCACACAGAAGATCTACAAGGGAGAGCAATGCCAGAGAGAAGGGAGGTGGAGACCCAGAGACCAACCAATTGCTCCATTCCTGAAGAGACCCAAGGCCAACCTACCTTGCCATCAATGATGGCAGACAGGCTGAGGTAGTCAAAGATCTCAGTGCAGTAGCGCCATACAGTCACCGAGCCATATTTTCGCAGGCACTCGTCATAGAAGCCATAGACTTGGGTGATCTGGCGGCTCTCATGGTTGCCCCGGATCAAGGTGATACGATCAGGATAACGAACCTAGGGGAACAGCCAAGCCAGGAATGGTTCTACGCTCCATCTCTCCACTTAACCCTGCCCAAGTCTCTACACACTGACCAGTCTTACTCAGACCACAATTCTGGTCCAGACTCCTGACATCTTTTGCACGAAGCTTGGTATCACCTGCCTCACAGGCCCCCAGGCACCCCAGAGGAAGAACTACAAGCCTGAAGGTTTTTCTTTCACCTACCAGGCTCCAGTCCTTAGAAAACCCCAAATACTGTTCCCATTTCTACTCAACTCCTACTATTTCCTGAACAGAAAGCCTTTATTTACGTTCCTAGAACTCACATTGCCAGCCTCTTCCTCAAGGGCCCAGGGGATGGGCCACTAAGCACACAGCCTACAGACACAGCAAAACTCCAAGTATGATAACAGTAGAGGTGATGAGGGAAGCAAGGAGTGGCCCAGGCCCAGGCTCCAGGGGTCAAAGGTCCTTACCTTAAGTGCCAGCAGCAGGAGGAAGGTTTCAACACTGTAGAAACCACGGTCCACAAAGTCTCCCATAAAGAGGTAGTTGGTCTCAGGGACATCGCCACCTACCTGGGAGGAAGGATATGGTTCTGCCTGGCCTCACCCTCAACACCATCCCTTTCCCACTGCAGTGTCAAGTACCTAGTTGAGCCCCTTCTTTAACCTAGGGCCCATCAGATCAGAGACCTCTAGCCCCTCCACTCTCAATGAGTAGGTCTTTTAGTCACCCCCACATGTCGAAGCCCAAGTGCCCTCCACTCACTCTGAACAGCTCCTTGAGGTCATAGAATTGTCCATGGATGTCACCGCATACCTAGAGAGGAATGTGGGCTGATGCTTCCTTTCTTCCAGGGACCATCCTTCAAAATACCTTTTACTTTCCAGAGCTTCATTACTCCTGACTATGCCACTCCAATTCAGGGCCAAAATTCCACCCTCCAGCCCCAAGTGAGCCTGTTCTGGCATCATCTACCACCCCACACTGAGAGCCAACTGCTCTGGGGCACAAGTAGAGACAGGACTTTCCAGTGAGACTCACAGCTCCAGGGGCATCTGGACCCTTCTCTCTGCCTGTCCCCATGTACCCAGCACAAAGTTACTGACTTAGGACCAGAGAACCTTATTTCTACAATCATTGGCCAAATCAAGTCTTTCTGATTTGGCCATGAGCATCCCAATGACAAATAAAAATTCCAGAGCATCCTTTATTTTCTTATGGTGCTGAGAATGGAACCCGGGGCTTCATGCATACTAGAAAAGCACTCTACCACTAGGCAGCACCCTCTGCCCACCATCTGACTCTTACAGCAGGGCTCCTCTGAAGATGGAGGAGCAGAGACCTGGGGTGTCCTAGGCCTTTGATTTGAGGGAGTCGCTAAGGAATCACTAACAAGGAATGTCCATGTGCCTTAAAAGACTGAGGGACAGAGGGTACTTACTGTGACTGGCGAATCCACCCTCTGCACGTTGCTCTCCTCTACCAAGATCTCTCTGGAGACAGAAGACCAGGGTCACCACAGCCAGGCCAGCCCAGCCCAATTCCTGACCTTTTTTTGGGGGGTTGGGGAGGACATGAGGCAGTCCCTGAACCTTCATGGGACAGAAGGAAATATATAATGTCCCCAGGATTTTGGTTAGAACGCACTGACCGTGGCCCTCCACCACTCAACACCCTTTCAAGGCCTGTCCCTGTTACCAAAGGGACAAAGTCCAAGTTCCCATTCCCCAATTCCAGCCCTTCCAAGCAGGCTGGGACTTTTCCAGCCTTGACGGTCCCTGCTGTTTCTTTTCACCAGCCCAGCGCACACTCCTGGAAGAGTGGTCTCTTTAAAACAGAGAGCTGACTGTCCCTTGGCTGAACTGACTTCACTCTACCAATTACAAAGCCCTTTTTCCTCACTGTCCAAAGTTAAAGGTAAGACCCGGGACAGGCTAGCCATAGATGCACCTTCAAAGGACTGTGCTGCTCCTTTGTTGTCAGCGTGAATTTACACAGTGAAGAATTTGCTCTGGTTCTTTTTGCTGTATGGTCTATTCTTACTCAAATAAGCATGAGAGAGAAAAATCACTTTGTTGGTTATAGGTGCCCAATTTCAATACTCCATTTCCAAACTGTGCCCTGATGAGTATAGTGGTGACCACTGCAAGCCACATCCAGGCAGAGATACCATGGAGTTTCCTGTGGATGCACTTCATGAGACGGCCAACACAGGGCAGGTCCCAAGCCAACTGTACATCCTGAAGCACAGGAAGCTGCTGGCTTGGCTGCAGTCACATAGGCAGAGGCTGGACCAGGACAGCACAGGTCCAGGGTCTGACTCTTCTCACTAAGCTATGCTGATGGCAGAGGCCAAATCCCCTGCCTTGCCCCAGTCCATTCTGCCAGTCTCTTCCTACCAGAGTTCCTAAACCCGCAGACAGGATGATTCAGGTAAATCCCTCAGAGTGGGGATGATTCTGAGAGAAGCATCTTAACTTTCTGGGTCCAAGAAGTCAGGGCAGTCCAGGGGCTCCCACCTGCACTAAATCTTCTGGTGAATAGACTTTCACATCAATGCATATAATGACTTTTCCAACAGACTGGCTTAGAGAAAAGTGACAAGATCAAGGTCACAAAGTTGCTTACATAGTGAATTTCAGGTAAGCCTGAGAAACAAGAGACCATATTTCAAAACAAAACACAACACCCAAAAAACCCAACCCAAATCAAGCCAACAATGAATCAAGCAAACAAAACAAAAGCTGAAACTTTTTTCAGCAAAATCCCACCTCAGTGACAGTAAGGCCCCAGTGTGGTCTGCTAAGAAAGGTCAGGTGGCAGCCCCTGCACTTACAGCACATCACCAGCTCTATTGTGACCCACAACTGCTCACCTTTACTTCCATAACGAACCTATCTTCAGCAAATAAGTACTTATCAATATGTCAGGCCTGTCCCTGGAATTTCACTTGGGTCTTAGGATGAGTTCAGAAACTCAAAAGGTGAAATGACTAGACCAGGTCATATTGCTAATGGTGACAAAAACTGACATTCGTACCTTAAAAAAAAAAAAAAACTTATTTTTATTTGTATGAGTGTATTGCCTGCGTGTAAGTGCCCCCTTGGAGTCAGAAGAGGGTGTTGGGATTCCCCTTGAGGAGTTATGGATGGCTGTTAGCCACCAGGTGGGTGCTGGGAATCAAACCAGAGTCCTGTGCAAGACCAGCCAGAGCTCTTAACTGCTGAGCCATCTCTCCAGCCTGACATTCATACTTTAGTTAGCCAGATTCAGAAGTCCTTTTCTTCTAATATGCTAATGATTTTAAAAGCAACAATTTTGCCTTAGACACTACTGGCTCTGTTGCTTCAAGGGTTTGAATTTCTATGATCTCTAAGCTGAAGCTCTAGACATTACCAGCCTCAGCCTGAGTTTCTCACGGGTCCTCAGGAGGCCATGGTCAGGTACTAGACAGAGTTGGTTCCTATTCAGACTGGGTGTGGGACAAGCGCAGCCAAGTTAGGCCTCAACTTACTATGTCCTAACTCCACCTGTGCCTCAAGACTCAGTTCTCCATAGCTCCTTCTCACACCCCACACCAAGCTCTCACTGTCTCTGCCTGGTTGTCAATGACCAAGAAACACATGCAGCATAGTAAAGGCACGAATCTTGTGCTGGACAGCTTTAGTTGTCAACTTGACATACCTGGGTTGAGGGAGCCTCAAATGGGGATTTGCCTCCATTGGACTGACCTATGGCCATTTCTGTAAGGCATTTTCTTGATTGTTGAGTGATGTGGGACGGCCCAGTCCACTGTGGGCGGTGCTACCCTTGGGCAGGTTGCTCTGTATTGTATAAGAAAGCAAGCTGAGCATGGGCCAGAGGAGCAAGCCAGTAAGCAGCGTTCCTCTACAGCCTGTGCTCCACTTCCTGCCTCCAGGTTCCTGTCCTGAGTTTCTACCTTGGACTCTCTGATGAACTGTGACCAGGGAGATGTTAGCTAAATAAACCTTTTCCTCCCCAAGTTGGTATTGGTCAGACTGTTTTGTCATAGCAACTGAAGACAAACTAGAACACATCTCATTAACTTCTCCAGATAGCTGTTTGACATTGAACAAGACAGCTATGCTGAGCATCTACCTCTCCTCTTTGAAAGGGATAAATACTCCTGTTCTGCTTATTCCATGAGGCTGCTGCAAGTAAACCCACTGCATGTCCAACTTCCTACTCCAGAAACTCTAGCATCCTACCCAAGCATTGTCTATCATTCCGCCAAACCATTCCAGGCCTTGTGGGGTAAATACAACTTATGTGGGATAATAATAATGCTAGGCAGCAATCAGTTTAAGTTCCTAAAAGTGCCTATTAGAACTGAGGATGAGGAGACAAACTGGGTATGGTAGTGCAAACCTGTAATCCCAGTACCTGGGTAGCAGCAGGAGGATCAGGAGTTAAAGGCCAGCCTGAGATTCTGTCAAAAAACCAATAAAAGGGGCCAGTGAGATGGCTCAGTAGGTAAAGGTACTTGCTGTCAAGACTGACGACCTGAGTTTGATCCCTGAGGCCCACATGGTGGAAGGAGAGAACACTCTATCGTCTTTTTTCTTTTTTGGTCTTTTTGAGACAGGGTCTCCTTGTAGCCCCAGTTGTCCTGGAACTCACTATGCAGACCAGGCTGGCCTTGAACTCACAGAGATATGCCTGCCTCTGCCTCCTGAGTGCTGGGATTAAAGGTGTGTGCCACCATGCCTGGCTTGTCCTGACCTTTGACACATGGCACTCATACACACACACACACACACACACACACACACACACAGTAATAATAACTCCCTGGAGCTGGCCTTGTCAAGATTTTCTTGTGCCATAAAAGCCCTGCCAATCATTGGCCTCTAAGAGTCATGGCTTCTCAGTCTGTAGAATGGAGCAAATGAGTCAAACCTCACAGGACTGGAGAAAAGGCATGGGGACCAGGCTACCAGGGAGTCTATTGTTCCATAAACAAGACAGAAGCCACATAGAAACATTCCCCAGAAGAGGCAGGCAATTAGCATTAACTATTGCCTACATATTTCCCTGTACTCTCACCCTGCTAGGAAGTTCTTTCTATTGTAACTGTCAGTCCTGTTACCTATCTTTCAAGGTCTTCCTCTCTTAGAAGCCATCCATATAAGCTCCAGTCCACATATTCACATTCCACTATAAATACCACCACCACCGCCACCACCTCATGCTTGCCTGTACTTACACTACCAAACACCACGCTAAACTCACTTCAAGCATCGATTCACTGAATGATTGTTTACAACCACAACACAATTTGTCCACTTTACTGAGTCCCAGATACTTCAAGATCACCATCATATAGAGTGGCAGAGTTCAGATTCAAGCTGAGTCACCATACCCCTAAATCTCTACCTTTACTTACTATAGCCTTTCACTTCTTTATAACTCTGCTCTCCTTCCATCTTACCCTTAATTCTCCTCTGGCTTTTTATTTTGTTTTTTTGAGTCACATGTGGTTGATGACTGAATTCCTGACTCTCCTGCCTTCACTTCCCAAGTGCAAGTGCTAGGATTACCTGCATGGCTTTAGCTTTTAACTTCAGCTCTTTTACAGAGCTGCTTCTGCAGCCTGTCAGCCAGCTTGCTAACAATCAGGTCTTTTTTTCCTCTCACTTTTTGGCAAGGCCTCACTCAGTAGCCTAAGCTGGACTGGAGCTCATTATGTTCTACTATTCCGGCTTATTTACTATGTTTTCTTTTTAAAAAAAAATTTATGATTTTTAGTTTATGTGTATGAGTGTTTTGCCTGCAGGTATGTAAGTGCACCACATGCATCCAGTGCTTGCAGAGGCCAGAGAGAGTGTCGGTTCCCCTGGAACTGGAGTTATGGTCGGTTGCTAGTCATCATGTGAGTGCCAGGAATGGAACCCAAGTCCTCAGCAAGAGCTGCCAGTGCTCTTAACCGCTGAGCCATCTCTCCAGCCTCTACTATGTTTTCTTAAGCTCCCAACTGACCATGAGCGCTCCAACTCCATCTTGGATCACGGTTAAAAGGATCAGCACAAAGAGAACTGGCCTCAAACTTTCTGCCTTCTTTGCTAGGAACTGAACAACTAGAATTCTCAATTGTTAAGTGGACACAAAAAAACCACCTCCCCTTTAAGAACTGATGGAACTGAGAATTTTTCAAACTACAAGTCTTTTGCTTTCTTGCCTTGAATTTCTGTAACCAGCTCCTTATTCTTCAAGGTCTGTCTCAGGAGCCAGCCTTTCCAAAAAACTTTCTGTTCACCGCGACAGGCCGGCTGGTTTCCCTGAGTTTCTAGAAACTTTCGGCAACTTGCTCTTACTCCCCCAGAAATACATGTAATTTTCTTTATCTTGCCCGAGCCGACCCGTTGATTCTGGGGAGGAAGTGGCCCTCGGAACTGCTCCTCTCCTCCAGGAAAGCTGCCCGGATGGGGCAAGCCCTAAGTTCTACGCTGTTTGCCCCAGGCGGAATCTACGGACGAAGAGCTGGCCTCACCTGGCCTTCGCGCACAGGGCCTTGACTTCGCTCTCCTTGATGAGCTCGCAGCGCCGCAGTTGCTCGATCTGCCGGTCTAGATCGCTGATCTCCGCCATGGCCCACCCCCCCCCCGGCGCGGGTCAGAGTCGGGGCCGCCGCCCCCTCCGCACCGCACAGGGGTCTCCTGGGAAGGCGAAGGGGAGCGCACCAATCAGAGGGTGCGAACGGGGTGCGGGGGGGGGGAGACTGGATCCCAGGACTGCCCCCCCTCCGCGCCTCCCCACGGCGGCCCAGGACCCTCGGAGTCCGGTGCCCTGGCCGCACCCCGCTAACTCCCGTCGAACCCCGCGGGCCCGCGCTGAGGACGGTGGCCTAGAGGGACCTCCGACAGTTACCGCAACTGAGACTCGGGCTGGGTCTCTCCGATTCTCCACTTCCCTCTGCTTTGGGCCTCAGCCACCGCCGCTTCTACTTCCGGCCCCGCCGCGGAAGCAGAGGGAGGCCAGTTCCGCCTCACTACGGATGTAGCGTTTGTGCACCCCGCCCCCCCTGAGCCTTACGCTCCGCCTCTCAGGCCGGGAAGGCGGAATGAAGGAGCCGGATGTGGGCGGCATTGGGGCGGGCGGGAGGTTGTGGGCTGAGCCCCGGGCAGCCCCCTGCTGGTCTTACGCGGCTTCAGCTCGGGGAGCCATCCGACCGCAGCTAGGATCGTCCCTTCAAATGAGGTCCGGGCTCAGCCCCGCCCCCTGCTGCAGTCCCGAGCTGAAACAACTGTCGTGTTCTTCCTTGGATATTTGTTCAAAGACTGGGCCGGGCCTAGCCCACATGTCCTGCTTGCAGTGGCCCGAGAGAAATCTGTCGAGACGCTCGGAACAAAAGGGAGCGCACCTGGGCCAGGTGTGGTGGCGATCGCTGTTGCAATCCCAATATTCAAAAAGCTGAGGCTGGAGAATCGCGAAATAAAAAAGCTCAGTGAATAAAGGCACATGTCGCCAAGCTTCATTATGAGATGGTGAGTTTGATATCTGGGATTCACATGGTGGTGCAAAGAACCGACCCTCACAACTTGTTCTGTGACTCTCTGACCTTCGTACCGCACATGTAAATTAATATTTTTTGGTCTTTTTGAGACAGGGTCTCCCTGTAGCCCCAGCTGTCCTGGAACTCACTATGTAGACCAGGCTGGCCTTGAACTCAGAGATCCACCTGCCTCTGCCTCCCGAGTGCTGGGATTAAAGGCGTGCGCCACCACACCTGGCTTAATGTTTTAAGTGCCTACCTTTACCACACCAGGCCTATGCCTAAAACTCAGTAATAGACACTCCCCCAACCCCCAAATTGATCTAACACCTGTTGCTTTTTGTTAAGACAGGCTCCCACTTGTTGGCCTGGAATTTACAGTATCTTGCTTGACCTTGAATTCAGCAATATTGTCTCAGCCTCCCAAATACTGGGATTAAACTGAAGCAACCATGTCTGACATTGCTTTCTAGTGCTTGAACATTTTATTCTTTCAGGAGATAATGGCTCAGAGAGGCTAACTGCTTCATGGTTGCATAGCTCAAAATCTATAGTTTGAACCAAGGCTCAGATTTTAACCCAGGAAAGCTGTTTGCAATTCTAGTTTTCTCCTTTCCAGTTTCTGAAAAGTAACGCATCGTAAAATTAAGACCAACACTTTCCAATCTACATCCTTAGTCTTTTTGCTGCAGGCAGAATTAGTTTTCAATCTTTCCCGTCTCTGTGCCTCTACCCATCTTGCTCCCTTTTGGAATGTCTTTTTCAGTCTTTGTCCCACTCAAGCTTTAAATTTTGACCCTTAATTTTTATATGCCTTAAGATTGCTTCCCTGAATTGAATATAACAGGCAGAGAGGGTGAGATCAAAGTCTGGAGTACTAGGGATGTTTTTCTCCCAGTACTGGATATGGAACCCATGGCTTCATGAATGCTAGCCAAGTACTGGACCACTGGGCTACATCCCAGCTTAGGCTTCATTTTGGATGCAGGAAATATATGGGAATGTATGGGCAGCAGGGACCAAGTTTCTAAAGCCCTAGGAAATCAGTTTTGTAGTAATAATGTTATTATATATAATATAGTAAGTTATTATTGCTGGGATCAGAAAGGTAATGTTTAGTTTTTTTTCCTTGAGAGGGAAAACCAGAGCAGCTACAGGCTGGTGTACTACACAGTCAAGACTGGGTAACTAACAAGGGTTCAAAGAATGGCCTGGGTGTTAAGTATGGGGCCCTCTTTCTGACTTCACAGAACACCAGGAGCTGAGTCCCCATTAACCTGGAACTCCAGTCCTAGAGTGAAGATTCTGTGTATACCTCCATTGTGGAAGGTGTGTGGGAGAAGATTCTGGGTTCTTCAAAGTGATCTAGTCCAGGAGACTAAAAAGCCATTGGCAATCCCATCTCCTGTTACAATGGGGAAACAGCTCCATTAGCGTAGGTTTCCACAAAAGCAGTTCCATCTCCAGCAAGGTAACCTTAAGCCTGAGTTGTGAATGAGAGGGCTGGGGAAGCAGCTTGGTGGTAGAGTGCTTCCCCAAGTATGCATAAAGCCGTGGGCTGGATCCCCAGCATAGCAGAAACTGGCCATAGTGGTATATGCTTATATCCCAACACTCAGGAGGTAGGACTAGAGGATCAGGAGGTTCAAGGTCACCTTCAGGTATACAAGAATTTGAGGCCAGCCTGGGTGGGCAAATGACCCCCCTGTCTCAAACAAAAACAAAAGGGTGAGGGGGTAAGAGCGGTTACTCCCAAGAACATACTTTTGGCTTCTATTACTTTTTCCAAAAGTCTTCTATACTTCAAGTAGTTATACCCTATTAGATATGGCAGGAAGAAAATTTCACCATCACTTTGCTTCTCTCAAAGCCCTGGTCAAGAATACCAAGCAAGAAGCCCCTACTCCACACCTTTACCTGTCCAGAAAGGCCCTTCCTCTTCTGGACTAGGCTACCTCCCCAATATCCCACGAGACAGACAACAGACTCCCTCTTAAATAGTTGTTTATTGGCAGTGGGCTGGAAGGGATGACAGAGTTAGCATTCAAAGACAACACCACACACCAAAGTCACGAGGGTGGCAAGAGTGATGGGGAAAGAGCCTGAAGGGCCCCCCCTCTTCAAGAGCAAGGGTAGGCAGGGGGCCTGGAGTGTTGACGGCGCAGCCTTAGGTCACCTTAGCTTAGTAGGCATGGTTAGAGACGAAGAGGGACTCACTGGCTGCAGCCCCAGCCTGACCACTTGGGGTGTACTTTCCTTGACAAGCAAGGCTGTTGGCCTAAAAGGGGAGAGGAACTGGGTGAGATCTCTTCTGAGTCCCTCCCAGCTGCCCACCCAGGCACCTGCTCACACTCCCACTCCTGCCTTACCAGGGCTCGTTTGATGTATTCCTCTTGAGCAGCCTTCAGGTTCTCCTTCTTCCCACCCCAGGCCTTTAGGGCAGAGGCCTGCAGGGCTCGGCCATAAGAGAAAGTCAAGGCCCATGGCTTCAGCAGGGGGCACTTGTTGATGGCATTGAGGTTGATGGATGCCTCTTCCTCACTCTGCCCTCCAGACAGGAAAGTGACCCCTGGGGGTGGTGGTGCCAAAGGAAAGGGAGGGCTTTTGTTAGAGGAGTCCCCCAAGTTGCCCTGGAAAGCAGAAAAGCCAAGGTAAGGGAGTGGGCCTCACCAGGGACAGCAGGGGGCACTGTGCGACGCAGTGCTGTGACAGTTGCCATGGCAATCTCCTCATTGGAAAACTTCTGGGTGCAAGCATGGCCTGGGGTAACCATGTTGGGCTTCAGCAAGGTACCTTCCAAGTAGATATGGTGGTCACTCAGAGCCTTGTAGACAGCAGCCAGTACCTGGAATAGGAGGGCCAAAGCAGGGTGGGGTAGAGGACAGGGTTAGCAGAGTAGGGCCCAGCTCACCACACTGCTCTTCCCACTCAGGCAGTCACCCTACCTTCTCAGTTACATACTGACAGCGCTTCAAGTCATGGTCCCCATCAGGGAGGATTTCCGGCTCCACAATGGGCACAATACCATTCTGTAACGGAGGGAGAGCATAGTGAGGCCCCCCCAACCTGGAATTCCACCTATAGCTCCCCAGCAGCACTGGCCAGGAGCTTATCTTGATGATAGGGATTCAAGGCTTCAAAGCCCTCAGCAGATTACTGACAAGGTATCTTCTCAGATTTGCCCACACATCCCTATTCTCTCGCTCTGCCTTGCAGAGTGGCCTCCATGGGCGAGCATCATTCTTCATGGGTATCATGAACAGCTGCTCTGGGGGAAGTAGATATCTGGGCAGACTGACAAGCTAGCCCACACCAAAACCAATGAGGTGGGAGGCGGCCTATTGGAGCCCTGCAGTTCAGTCCCACCTGCTGGCAGATGCTGGCATAACGGGCCAGAACATTGGCATTTTCCATGATAGCAAGGGCTGAGGGAGTGTGCTCTCCAATCTTCAGCACACAACGCCACTTGGCAAAGTCAGCTCCATCCTTCTTATACTGGGCACAGCGTTCAGACAGCCCATCCAGCCCTGGAGAGGAGAAAGTGGAGGGGCAGAGTATATGGCCCTTTTCATTCTGGAACCCCTGGTAGGCTGAGACAAAGTGAAAGAGGCAAACCCTTCTCACCTTGAGTGGTGGTCTCGCCATTGGTTCCTGCCAGGGGCACTACACCCTTGTCTACCTGCCAGGGTACAAGGCAGCAATCAGCTCTACCATCTTTTCTTCTCCCCTCCCCCAACTTCCTCTCAAGAATCCTCTCTGGGACTGAAAATACTTTCACTGAGTTATGACACCCAGTGCCACAGGGAAGATACTTTGTGATACTGACAGGAATATTTACTGGATTAGAGGACCTGTCTCTTATCACTCCTTGAACAAACCAGTAGGGTTGCCCACCTCCCTGGGGAAAGGAAAATACTTCTTTGGGCTTCTGGCTTTTCAGCTGTAAATGGGAAACACCTTCCTCTTAGAATTGTAGAGGGTGTACAGTATTTGCTTACCATGAATGAGGCCCTAGGTTCTAGCCTCATCACTCACAAAAATATGCCCAGATATGCAGAAATCTGGGGCAATCTTAGTCCAAAGTCCCTAGACTTTCCAACCCAGTACTTTTTAAATTTTATTTATTATCTTTATTTTATGTGTATGGGTGTATTGCCTGTATGTAGGTAAGTGCACCCGTGCCATAGGCTGTCAGATCCCCTGGGACTGGAGTTCCAGACAGTTGTTAGCTGCCATGTGGGTGCTGAGATTCGAACCTGGGTCTTTTTCAAGAACAACCAGTGTTCTCTCCAGCACCCCCCAACCTAGTATTTTTTTAATTATTTTTATTTGATATGTATGACTGTATTGCCTGCATGTAGGTAGGTGCACCCGTGTCGTGCCATGCCTGAGGATATCAGAAGAGTTCCCCTGGAACTAGAGTTAAGGACAGTTGTTAGCCCCCATGTGGTTGCTGGCAATCAAACCCATGTCCTTTGATTGTCCTCTTTAAGTGCAGTAAGTGCTCCTAACCACTGAGCAATCTCTCCAGCCTTTCCAACCTAGTATTTATCTCCTGCCTATTAATCTGGATCCACCTCTAATCTTACATCCTGAGGCCCCACCCTCTCACCTTGATGCCCACAACACCGCCCTTGGATTTGATGACTTGGGGGAAGGGACGTCCATCATCAGCCTTCTGGTACAGTGTCTCATGGAAGAGAATCACCCCCCCAATGCAGGGATTCACACGGTCATCAGCGGTCAGCAGCAACTGGCGGTAGAAGCGCCGGTTCTCCTCTGTGTTCTCAGTGCCAATGGACTGCAGCCGCTTGGCAATGCTTCCTGAAGGGAGAGTCACATGGGAGGATAAGGGGATCAGTCTGCCACCAACCCTGGGCCCTCCTCCCCTTGTCTCTGCCTGTACCGCACCGGTGGACTCATCTGCAGCCAAGATGCCCTTGCCAGGAGCCACGATACGGTGAGCGATGTCAGACAGCTCCTTCTTCTGCTCTGGGGTCAGTGCTGGGTAAGGGTAGGGCATGGTGCCAGTGACAGCAAGTTCCTGGGTGAAGGAGACACAGGGAGGAGAGGGAGGAGCAGTTAGTTGGGGCTTTCCATGGTCTCCTCCCCAGGGAATAGGGCCCCTTCCCTGGAGGTCAAGGCAAAAGGTCCCTACCTCCCCTGCCCCACACCCAGTGGGTCCTGGGGTACTTCCTGTCTCGGAACTCTCCCCTATACCCAACTTCCCTATACTAGATCTGCCTCCTCCTGTACCTTTCCTAACTCTCTTTGTTGCTGGGTGTTGCCCAGCTGAGGGTGGGGTTGCCCACTGGCAACTGGGGGAAAGGAAAAAGCCAGAGCCAGAGACAGGTGGGTCATGTTGAAGCTGGACCCATCTGGCCTGCGCGTTGCCATGGGTCACCTTGCCTAGAAACAAAATTGAACCGGGAGTATTTTAGAATTGAAGGGTCATGAATAGGGCAAAGTCCAACCAATATCCTCAATCTGAAAGAGCCCAAGAAAGGAATGGTCTGTACTTGGAGCCACACGGCAACCCAAGGGCAAGAGCTTAGATTAGCATCCAGATCTGACTGCCATGGGGTGTCCTTTCTAATTCACCCAGGGTTGGCCCAGGCTTGAAGGCTTCAAGGACACTCCAAGGTCAGGCCTCTCCCCCGCACTCCGGGGTGGGGGGAGGGTGTGAGGAAAAGGATATTGATAAAAGGCAAGTCAACAAGACTCCCAGGTCGAGGGAAAAGACAGTCTGCCTTCTCAGGGTATACAGAGGAGAGGTACTCGCTCCACCCCTCCCCAGAAAAGTGCTCCTGTCTGAACCGCTGCAGAAGTTCCAGGCTCAGAATAAAGGTCATAGGATAAAGAAAGATAGGGAAAGTGTTAACGGGTCACAGGGCGCCGAGGCTGAGGGGTTTCCCTCCTCCCCAGGGGGCTCCCGGGCTCCCCGGAAACCAACTTCCCCCACTCCATCGTGGGACCCCTGGGGCAATAAACGAGCTGGCCCCCCACCCTTTTCTTCTTGTGATCCCTTTAGAAAGGGGCCCCAATGCTTTGCATCGGGAGCCCCTGCAAAAATAAAAACAAAAAGGGGGAGAGGTAATGATCCTCCATCTCATCCTGCTTCCTCCCCCGCCATGACTCAGCGCGCGGAGCCGTGCCTGGCGCAACGGGCCGCCGGGGCGCAGGCTGGAGCGGGCAGAGGAGCCCAGGCGCGCGTAGGGGTAGAGGAGACAGACGCGGAGACCGTGACGTGGGAGCTCCGCGTACCGCCCGACCTGCCACCGGCCCAAGGCCCCGGGGCTCTAACCCTCGAACGCACTGAGGGGTGCTCACCTGGCAGTGGAGGGGGTTGGGTCTGCGGGGTGCGGCGGGGAGACACGAGGACGGAGAAGCGAACGCAGTAGTGCTCAACAGAACCCGCTTCTGCGGCGCGTTCCAAAAGAACGCAGCCTATTCAATGCCAGGGGCGGGGCCCTGGCCTTTTAAAGGCGCCGCCCGGGTTCCGCGGGCGGCCAATGGCGGCGCAGAACTGTGCGCGGGGCGGGCCCCAGAGCGCAGATGGAAGGCGGTGCCGGGGAGGCCAGCACCCGATCCCTCCCCCCGTCTCCCTTGGACGTGACTCGGGCCACATCCCGCGGGTCGCCGGGCCCTCCTCCCCCACCCCTGCCTGGCGGGTTCGGGAGTGCAGTGACTCAGCCGGAATTCTGGCTGCTAGGAGATGGAATGGGGAGGCGGAGGAGAGCGGGCGTAAAGAGAGGAAGACCGGTCGACGGCCGAGTCCGAGCTGCGTAGCTGCAGCCTTAAGCCTGCAGACAACCGAGAGGCCGGGCGTCGGCCTGCCTCGCCACGGGCTGCACGGCGCCGATCCCTCCTTCACTAGCCAGGGCCCGAACGTGGCGGGGCGTGTGCACGCGCCAGGAGTGGGGAGCCGGGCCTGCGATCCACGAAATCCACACCGGGTCGGCGCAGTGGCGGCCTAGCCTGGCCCCCGCGGACGCATGCGCTCTCCGCTCCGGGGCTGGCATAGACTGGCAGTAGTTAGCTGCAGCTCTCGCCCCAGCCATGCGGAAACGGACCGACAGGACTTGGCCTAAGTGAGACTCCCCACTGATTCCCCAAACCTGATTTATTCTCCAAAATAAAAGCGGCCTCAGCTTTTCCCCGAGCCTCGCGCCCCAACCCCCAAGCCAGCGGTCGGGCTAGCGGCCCACCTGTGGCGAGGCTGAAGCTCGGCAGACGTGGTTGGCAGCGACTGAGCCCTGCGGCCCGGGGCTGGGTTATAAGGCTACTGCTGCCCTCCCCCGCACCAGTGTCCCCGACCTTTTCCGTCACCCCTGCCCTTTCCCCACCAGGGATCCCTCGGCAGGGACCTATATTTAGGGAAACCTGAGGCCCCTGACATTCACGCCAGCGCGGGGCCCCTGCGTGGGGGAAGGAAGAGGAAGCTTCTGTCTGCCTCGCGCGGAGGAGTGGGGGGGGGCTGCCCACTCACCCACTCACCAGTCCTTTCTTGAACTTTCTTCCTTGGAAATCCAAAGTGAGCTTGGTTATCAAGAGAAATCAATCTGGACAGGGATCTATGGGGAGAGAAAGGATTAAGGCTGGTTGGCTGGGTGGCCCTCGGTGCCCCTCCCACCGGCTCGTCTAGTCCCCTCCTCCCTAGATTCAGGGCCTTCTGGTAGATCTTTTTTTTTTTTTTTTTTTTTTTCCTTTTATGAGGGAGAATAGATAGAGGCAGGCAAGACACTCACCTCTTAAAATAACCAGGAGTCCATAGGCAGGGTGTGGTTGGGGCATCCCTATATTCTGATACTCAAGGCTGGCTGGCTTCCTCTCAAACTGTTTGCCTGGGCCAGGGATGTCCTGCATCCTCACCTTCACCATATAATAGTTTACTTAGGAAGGGGATGAGGGGCAAGATGCTGGCCAGAGCACCAGCCCCTCTCCCTTCCAGCCCTCCGAAGGAGCCAAAGTTCAGCTGCCCAAGGGCTCTCAGAATCCTGCCCTGCGGGGAACCAAACCCACTGAAGACTCCCAAGTAGGTAAGCTGGACCTGCCATCTGTAGTTTCTGTGGCCTGATAGGTAGAAGTGTCCTAAGGGCCCTCACAGAGCGGGCCTGTAGGGGCTGGCCACTCCCCAAAGGACAGGGCCTCTGGACCCTCATCGGAGCTTGATCTCGAAGCACAGACAGTTGAGGCTCTGGCAGTCCGGGAGCTGACAGGCACAGGCACAGTCGCACAATGGGCAGCATCGAGGACAGCATGGGGCCCAACCCTGAGGGAAAGGAGAAGGGCAAATGAAGCAGGACCAGTGCTTTGGGCTGCTTCCCTCCAGAGAGAGAAAAGAACAGAGGAGCTTAGGAAGTCCTCCTGCCCAATGGAGCAGAGGGTAGGTACCATTTTGGGAACAAAGCAGTTGTCCATGCTGTTGAGAAACCAGCAGTAACGCAATACTCTAGAACAGAGTTCAGGAGCCTCAAGCTCTACTACTCAAGGGTTCTATCCCCTTTCCCACCACATAGCTGAGAAGAGTAAAAGACCACTGAGCAACTGGCCTAAGTCTGGCTAGAATTAGGTAGCACCGTGTGCAGCTCAAAGAGAGTTCTTCTCCACTCCTGAGCCCACCATGCCTGGCTAAAAACACTTTCTAACTCTGGAGCCCAGGCTAGGTCAGAACTCACTATGAAACCCAGGATGACCTCAAAATCATGGCAATTCTCCTGCCTTAGCCTTCCAAATGCAGCCAATCAACCCAGCATTGTCATTCATTTTTGACTCTGCAAGGCACAGGTTGCATTTGTGAATGATAAAAAATAAAACAAGGCCAGGCCTGGTGGCACACACCTTTAATCCCAGCACTTGGGAGGCAGAGGCAGGTGAATCTCTGTGAGTTCAAGGCCAGCCTGGTCTACATAGTGAGTTCCAGGACAGCTGGGGCTACAGGGAGACCCTGTCTCAAAAAGACCCAAAAAATAAAAAATAAATAAATAAACAATACAACTTTCTAAACTAGGTATGGTGACTTGAAGTTGTAATCCCAGCACTTGGGAGATGGAGGCAGGAGAATCAGGAGTTCAAGGTCATTCTCTGATACATGGGGAGTTTGAGGCCAGCCTAGACTACATGAGATCCTGTCTTTTTAAAATTAAAAAAAAAAATTTTTTTGGTCTTTTTGAGACAGGGCCTCCCTGTAGCCTCAGCTGTCCTTGAACTTGCTATGTAGACCAGGCTGGCCTTGAATTTACAGAGCTCCACCTGCCTCTGCCTCCCAAGTGTGCTGGGATTAAAGGCGCGTGCCACCACACCCGGCAAAATAAAAAACGTTTTTAAAAAAAGAGGTTTGGTTTTGTTTTCAGTTCTGGGACTTGAACCCAGGGCTTCACACATGCTAGGCAAGTGCTCTAGCACTGAGCTACATTCCCAGCTCAAGAGTTCTGATGATCTACCCTGAATTTGGGGCCTCTTACAAAAAAGGAAATGGAAGCTCAGAGAAAGAAGTGATTTGCACAAGGGAGTAGAGCTGAGATGGACCAGAGCTGGCTTTTCCAGGTCTGTGACTCCCCTGTCCCCACTTTCCCAGGGCCAGGAATGTCAGCTTCATTCTGAGGCTGCAAGGACAGGGACTATTGGTCTCATTCTCCACTAATCTGTGGGGACTCCTGCTCAGCAGGTGTTTGAGACACAGATAAAGGCTGAATGAATGGATGGCGCATTCACTTTGCCCTCTTAGGCAAAGGCAGAAGTAAGCCTCTCAGCTGCAGGAAAGAGGTCTGTCTCCTGGATAGAACATCCTTAGATAGAAAAGAACATTTGCCCCTCCAACCCACAGCTCCTGTTCCCTGGGATAAGGATGATCCTCAACTGCCTCAGGCATGGACAGGAGGCAGGCCAAGTGGCTGGAGTGGACACACCCAAGCTGGCTATATGACAGAAGATTGGCTTCTTGTAGCCACGAGCAAAGCTAGTGACAGTCACAGTTGCACAGCTCAATCAGACCTGGCCAAGCCAGGAATAGGGAATGACCTTTCTAACAGCTGAGGTTTCGGGGTTCGGTGTCCGATGACTGGTGAGATCAGCTGTCACTAGGGGCTCCAGCAAGGGGAGGAGAATAGCCAACTACAGGGAGAGGGGTCTGAACTGGGCTGTGCCACTCCCAACAGAGGGAGACGGACAGGTGTAATGGTAGAAGGAAGAGAGAAGTGGTTTTCTCGTGTGATGAAGAGTGGTTTGGGGACATCTCTGAGGAGTCCCAGCCCAGGGATGGAGTTGGATCTGTGGGTTTCTAGAGGACCACACCATCATTCTGTGTGCAGATCCAGAGGCCAAGAGGCTTTACTGTCCTTACCTCAGAAAAGAGGGTATTAAAAGCATTTCTTGGCTCTGTTTATGGAAGGGTTTAGACTAGCCATTAATAACTGGCTAATGGGTTTCTTGACTCTCAGCAGTGGCTTCTGGAAGAGCTCTACTGTTTAAGTACATTAAATAAGGGCTCCACAAGCCTGTTAACCCTTGTATTTCTCTAGGCCCTGAGTTTTTCACTTCTGAAGGTTGCTCTTGGACTTTAGGGGGGAGGGTATAATTTTTCCCAGAAGTTAGTACTCAAGCCCTAGAGTCAGTAAGGCCTAGGTTTGAATTCAGCCTGTATCCTCATCTTTGAAACAAATATAGCGCCTCCTTCACAGGCATCAGAGGGAAGGGCTGGGCAGGTCTGACCTAGTGAGTGTACAAAGAAGGGAGCCATGCTTGGCATCACTGTTCTGCTCCCCTCAGCAGTTCTTTTATTTTTTTCAGACAGGGTCTCAGGTCTGTAGCCTCAGCTGGCATGGAACTCACTATATAGACCAGGCTGGCCTTGAACTCACAGAGATCCTCCTGCCTCAGTCTCCTGAATGCTGGAATTAAAGGTGTGTGCTAACACCTGGCCTTTAACAGTAATTCTAAATTCTAATGTGTATTAGAATTATATGAGAGCTTGTTAAAAAGTCAAAAACTCCACTCCCACCCCAGATCTACAGAGTCTGGGGTCTCAAGGCCCGGTCTTACCTGCTTCTGGTCATGCAGAGCTATATGTCACCTTTCTCCCACTACTGTAATTGTTTACTGATTGATCTCTGACCTTCACCAGAATGTAAGCCCAGGGAGTACAGGAATCTTGTTTGTCTTATTTCTGCTGAGCTCCCATGGTCCAGGTCAAAGCCTCAATAGTGACTCTGTGTATATACGTGTGATGGGGAAAGAAATAAGGAACTGGAGCCTCACAACAAAGCGGCAGGGCCAGCTTTCTCCTCCAGAAAGGAAAAGAACTCCGGATTTGTGGTCTGGTTGGCCCGCAGGTGAATCGCTTAAGCCTTCTGTGAGCCTCAGTGTCTATAACTGTAAAACAGGCAAGCTTTGTAACGTTTTTGGTTGTCATTAATACTATAAGGAAACTGGACAACAGAGGCACTTCAGTGTACTTTGAGGAAAGACAAATTGGGACAGGACAACCCTGCTCCACCCTTATTTCTTCTTGGATCCAGCAGAAACTGGAGAGGGTCGAAGCCAAAGGTTCCAAAGCCCTTAGACATAGGTGGTAAAGTCTGCCTCAGTCCATCCTTTTTCCTAAGAAGGTGGATCCCTGACAATTTACTTCATGTGACAGATGGAGAAGGGGACAGGGGATCTGGACCACAAATCATTCTGTAACTGAGCATGTCCTTGAAATAGGAGCTCTTTGAACCTAAGGTCTCCTTTCTCCCTTTTGTTCCCTGATGTCAACCATGACAGCCCATCTCCTGGCCACCCTCAAGGAACCAGAAGTAGAATATTTGAAAGAAAATAGTTCCTTACCTATTTATTTATTTATTTATTTATTTCTGAGACAATGTCTCTAGCCTAGTCTAGCCCTGAACTTCTCATCCTTCTGCCCCCACCTCTTGAGTGGTAAGATTATAGGCATGTACCACCACACCTGGTTTATGCAGTGCTGGGGAATCAGACCCAGGATCTCCTGTATGGTAGGCAAACATTCTACTAAGCTACATCCCCAGGCCCCTTAATTTATTTTACGCCTCAAAATATCTGCCAGGGATTTGTACCACATACAATCAACCCAAGTTATAAATTTGCTGAGGCTCAGTCTGTTATCCCCTCCCTTCTAAGGAAGGTTACCGGACCAAGGGCAGAAGCTTTGCTGTCTAAATTTCTGAGCCCAAAATAATCATTGTCTCAGTAGGTAGTCAACCACACTGAACATCTTTAAACCCACAAATGTAAAAATGGCCTGTGTTCTGTGGGCCAGCTTCTCTCCTGAGGATTTTGTTGCAGCTAAAACCATAGAGCAATTTGCTATACAAGATTTTGCTATGTAACCCCAGAGAAGCCACAACCATCCTAAGCCATCTTATACCTCTGAGAGAGGGACAATACTTATCTAGCTCCATGTTCAGGCATGGATAAGTGGCCAAGGTCCATGTGACAGTTTGTAATGCAGTAGAGTTTGTAGTAGGGCTCCATTTTTGTCAAGTACATAGTAATGGATGGTAACAGCAGCATCCCATGGGAGGGACACTCTAAAAAAGACAACTTTGGGCTATAGTGCTGATTTAGAAAATGATTTGGCCGGCGTTGGTGGTGCTCACCGGTAGGATATGCTGAAGGAGGCAGAAATAGGAGGATCTGGAGTTCGAGACCAGCCTGGGCTACACTTTTGCTGGGCATGGTGGCGCACACCTTTAATCCCAGCACTCGGGAGGCAGAGATAGGCAGATCTCTTTGAGTTCAAGGCCAGCCTGGTCTACATAGTGAGTTTCAGGACAGCTGGGACTACAGGGAGACCCTGTCTCAAAAAGACCCCCCCCACAAAACCAAACTAACAAAAAAACAAACAACCCAAACAAACAAAGCTGTGGATCTGCAATTGGTCACTTTTCCCTGT